TTGTGTTGGGTGGGCTACTGTGGGCTATTGTGGGCTGGCCTATTTTATTCCTTCTCTTGTTTTATAATTTTTTGTCTAATCTTTGTTCTTATTATTTATTTTCTATTGATGGTTCTCTATTTATGGTTTCTTTTTTTTTTCATTGTTTGAACGATATCGGACAATGCGACTATGATCGGTTTCTGCCCTGATAGGCTCGACCTGATAGGCTTCTTCCCCACCTCGACCGCACATCCTCCCGTACCCTAACCCATACCTTTGCCGATGTCAGTCTCCACTGTATAATGATGCTATGACCAGAATTTAGAACATGCCTGTCTACCATCAAGAACCTGACTATCGATGAAATCATACAAGACAGCCACAGCCAGCCACACGGTAACCACTACGTAGTACCTAGGGAGTTAGACAGGGTAAATCCAGCTGAACACGCCGAACCTGGCGCCTGGGAGTGGAAAATTGAAAAAAAAAACTGGAAATTGGAAATTGGAAGGAATGAGGGAAAGGAATGGAGAGAAGATGAACAGCACATGCATACATATGGCGCATCTCCACACTTCACCATCCATAGCAAATCCCATTCCAGCGACACAGTAAGCTAGACAACCGACCAACGGAGATACCGTACCTTTAGCCTTGGTTAACTAGTACTTCCAACTAAACAAGTACTGTACTAACTAGCAGTTAGTATGGAACTAACCAAGTCGTAAGTAGCGTACCTTGGAGTTGGAGTTGGAGTTGTAACTTGCAAACAGCTGACGTTCCCAGCGGGGCGGACCACCTCGCAAACATGTCGCCATTTGGGCAAAGGTACTCGATACTCTCCTTCTTTAACGTGTCCTGAATCCTTCGTCCATTTACCTCTGGATGTGCCTGGGTACCTGTACCTACTACTCCAGCCGTACCTACCTAACCTACCAATTCCTGGTATCGGCTCTGTCGAGTATTCCCACCCAATGGATACTTACTTTACTTTTTTTTTTTTTTTTTTTTTTTTTTTCGCCCGTCTTTTCCCCACCCCCAGCCCCTCTCCCCTTGCCCATGGCGCTTGTTTGTTTGCTCGGAGTGGGTGGAGTGGAGGTATCGTGTACTTACCTGCCTTACTAGTTACTACGGAGGACTTGGTGATCTGTGGTACTACTAACTATCTAGTATCAACTATTGTGGGGATCGGAGGACGAGGCCATAACGATATCGCTCCTTGCTTTTATGCTGCACCTGTTGTACAGAGGAGTACAGAGACATGTCATCATAGTGTCTGAAGAACACGATGCATGGAACGTGCAACTGTCGGATGTTTATCATCTACACTACTGTCTTTAGGAAGGATGAGGAGAAGGAAGAGAACTAAAGTACTACGGTCAACCCTGACCCTACGATACATATCCCGAACGGCATTTGCATTGCATTCTGGGTTTAATTAACTAATAACTTATCTAGTTGACTAATTCCTTGTCTTAACGAGCACACAAAGATAAATAATAAACACAACCACAAAACAATTAAACACAATAATCGAATAATCCAGGGAGAGCAAACAATTACATCGAATTCGACTCCTCCATTCCACTGTAGTACGGCGTTTGCAGGTACATAGGTAGTAAGTTAGTATCAGTAGTACAATCAATTCCGTCCCCACACACAGTAAAACAGCCACAACGTAGGGGTAAACCCTCATTGCCTTGATTGCTGGTATTGCCTACTATTCAGCTTCAATTCATCCTCGAGTGGAGAATCATTTCATCATGTCCTGTCCTTCCGTCTCTATCTCTATTGTCATTTTCCAAATTGAGTTGAATCTTCTCTCGTGATTCCTCCGCTCGCTTAACTGCCTAGGTAGGTACCTAACCTATTAGTTGACTCAAAACTCGCCCCGAGTCTAACATTGAAAAGTCAAAAGTTAACTAAGTAAGGAGGACCCGTAGACCCATCCATTAGCAACGGCCCGGCGCGTACCAACATTGACATTGACATTGACAGACAGATGGAGACGTAGCAATTACGGAGTGTCTCCGTAGAGGGCCGTTGCAAGAGGTGGTTTGACTGGGCTGGAATTTTGCAATCTGTATTTTTTTTTCTCTTGTTGATTTTTTCTTTTTTCTTTTTTTTTTTTTTTAGTCATTTGTTTATTTATCTACTTACCGACTGTCTATCCGTACTCCGTAGTCTGTCACTAGTGGTTAGTTGTACATTAGACGAGCAAATTTTGTCCGGGTAATGCATGGTATTTATGATCCATGGAGATTAATATACTGTTCATGAAGGATGGACAGTCGAAGGAACAAGCATACTCAAGTAAAAGTATAATAAAAATAGAGGGCTATGCATTTCTCTCCTCGCTTGGGTTTCATCTCATCCATCCTTCGTTTTCTTCGGCTCCGAGATATAACTAAAAGCCGAGATATAACTAAAGGAGTGAAAAATCGTTAAGCCTTCATCCCGTGTCCCTGGCCCTGCCCTTTCTTCCACCCCCGTAATCGGCGGTTGCCAGCGCGTAAGCCTCCTCCCATCGGTGGCTCGTCCCCAAACCCTGATTGGAGCATCGAGCCGGCCCGCATCCCGTGCAGCTGCGTCGTCTCGTCCGTCTTGAACCCGTCCCCGTCGTTCAGCGTCGCGCTCCAGAGCGCCCGGAGCGAGGCGTTCCACTCTTCGACCGATCGGAGTCGATCCACGTCGCTAGCGCTCTCGACCACTACCGTCCCGCTTTCCTGGTCGATCTTGGCGTTGAGTTTCTTGTCCAGGATCAGGAACCCGAGGATGTCTTCTACCTCGGACACGGAGATTTTGATGTGCTTTGAGATGAATTGTAGCGTGAATCGCGTGTACGGCGCGATCAGCTTGAGGACTGCTTTGGTCCGCATGTTGCGGCTGACTTCGTCGATGTTCTCTGCGATGAATGGGTCTGCGAGCACGTCGGGGTTCTTGCTTAGGATCGCTTCGTATGCGTGGATGTCGTCGCGCTGGAACGCATCCACGAGGTCTGTCATTGCCGAGATCCGAGGGTCATTCTTGTACGGTTTTGTCTCTTGCGAGTCGAATGGGTTGATGTCCGATTTCATCAGCATGGTGGCCAGCACCAGGTACTTGAGAACCTGGATCCGTTGCATCGACCCCGCCTCGTCGTAGTTCCGGAATGACTCGAAAAAGTCGCTCTGTGCTTCTTCCCAGTTCTCCTCGCTCATGTGCATCTTGCCTCCGCACTCCCGGATGATCCCCATGATCTTAGGGTGCGGCACCGCCGACCGCACCCGGAGCGCGCGCTGGTACAGGGCCTTGAGTCGTTTGTTGTTTCGCGTTTCCGAGTACATCTGGATCTCCAGTGCATACAACTCGAGCAGATACGTTCCTTTGCTGGGGTCGTCGCTGCCGTCCTCCCGCTGGCACGCCCGGTGCAGCTCGCGCACCTTTTTACTCAGCTGCCCGTACTCCTTGCGTTCTAACCACAGCCGGGCCAGTTTGATATTGGTCTTCAACCACAGACGCTCGTTGTTGGTGTTCTGGAATGAATGTAGTGTCAACGAGTAGAACTCCTCCATGCAGTGATACGCCTGCTCGTCATCCGACCCTTTCTCGATGTAATCCAGCATGTTATTGATGGACTTTTCGGAGTAATTGCGCGTGACGGCCGATTTAACGTAGGTCAGGAGTTCTTTGTAGTGTTCGACGGCCTGGAACACTCCGTCAGCAGATGTCCGCGACCGGGTTGACCGGGGATGAAAAGCGAGAGGGGAGCCCTACATCCCCATATCGTCCCATCTTGAACTCCAGCTTAATAGCCTGTTTAAGTCCTTTGAACCCCCTAAAGAACTATCAGTCTCGCGACCTGGCAAATTGCAAGGCAATCGTCTCACCAGTCGCCTTTGTCTTCCTCCAGCGCCGGCACCTCTAGAAACTCGTCGATCGCCTCGTCTGGGTTGTCCACTTTCATCTGTTTGGCGTTGTAGTATTTGTTCTCGATCCCGACATCTCCGGACTCGTCATCATCCGCATCTTCGTATTCAAAGTCATATCTGTCACCAGGACGGGTCAGCATGGAAATCGTATTCAGGAAGCGGTCGGACTGACTCCTCGTCGCCGGAATCTTGCATGAAGTCATCGTCGTCTGACATCTTGGAGATTTGAACGTGGCGTGGGGGGGAAGGAGGCTATTCAAGGATTGTAGTAAATATATAGGACAGTAAATGAAATACACGGGACCGAAAGGAGAGATATCACCCCGCGTAGACGTTGTTTTGAGATAGATTCAGTGGGTTGGGTTGGGAATGACGACCGATGAGATCAAGCTTCCGGGCCTATCGGAGGAAGGCAGCCTGGGGCAACCGCGAGTTGTTCCCCGCCTTGCTCGGCAGGCAGTCCATGTCTGGTTGTGAACTGCTTACTTCCACGCCATATAGATTATTTTTACTGACCATGATGGAATTGAACCTACAGGTTGAGATTATCTTATTCTATTATTTATTTGTTATTTTATATTTTGCGTTACTTTCGTATAGTTGACTAACATTGCTATTATTGTCTGATTTGGTGGTACGCCTTGCGTCAGGACGCTAAAATAGCGCCTTGACGACAGGAATAACACATTGTTTGAGAGTGTTCTATATATATATACGTGGTTAGTATACTCGTTAACGTTTATCTTCGTATCTTTAATCGTTGGCAATTACTCTCGAAATTTGTTTCTTTGACAAGGATAGACTTACCGGAATTCTATACGATGCTACAAACTGACAATGTCGAGGATTAGTGCATTTTCTTATATAGTCCTATTCTACATATCATCTATCCAGAAGATCAAAGTTTTGTGAGATATTCCAGTGTAGGGATTCGATAACTGCCCTAGTATAGACTGCGCCACAGATAGTTGTATCCACCACTATCAGAACACGCGGATACACACCTGCATATAGAACCTGGACGAAGAACTATCTGCATCCCAATTGAGTCAACACCAGTCAGAAAGATTATGTGATATCAAACAAAGCGACACTCGTAATGGTGGTCCTCGCCTCTGGTGGCAATAATTTACAAGCCTACTAGTACTGGGTCAGGTACGGGTGGGAAATTGAAGCCAGGCTGAGTGCCTTGGCAAGGCGGCGATCCTCTTATTCGTGGATCCTTAAAAAAGGACCTGATGACATCGACTCTGCACGGCCCACGGACTCGTCGTCTTCCACCTTTTTTCTTTCGATCCTCCACGACCTTTTTTCTTTCTAGCTGGAAGTGACATTCCAACCTTTTCGTTGATTCTATATCTCAGTGTATACAGTGTGTATCGCCGCTGACGTCGTTCGATTACGCTCCCCCTTCCTCCCCTGATTGCTCTCCTTGCGCATCCCCGGTTCAACGGTTTTCGAAACATCTCTTCTATCTATCATGGATCTGTGCAGTCGGCAAAAGGTGGTGCGGCGGAAGATGGTGCTCTTGTCAGTGCGATTCATGACCTTGGATTTGTTTCGCAGTTCTGGAATTCTGACCGTGGAACAGAGGCGACGGTGCTTGCGGAAAGACCTCGGCTTTGAACGTGTTTACAAGAGGGTTGGTGCTCCACAGATGACCCTTGTGTATACCAGATAGCTAACTGCTGCTAGATACTTCCCGACAGTCTAGTGAGAATACCCTGTTCTTGTATCACTGGTGATTCATATTAACCCTTGTCTGTCGCAGTGAGCCTACTGTTTTTGGTGCGCGCATTCCCCGCTTGGTTGATGGTGTGTATGCTGACCGTTATCTTTATAGAAAACTACGTACACGGTAAATACTTTCTTTCTCGACAGTCGCGATCTTCATACTCACGCGATTCAAGATATCTTCGTCGATAATGTGCACATGGAGCTGTCGCTCTGGGATACGGCGGGCCAGGAAGAATTCGACCGATTGCGCGCTCTCTCCTACGAAGACACCCACGTTATTATGCTCTGCTTCAGCGTAAATGCCATCTGTCTGAACACGACGGACAGTCCGGCTGACACACGGACAATATAGGTCGACAGCCCCGACTCCTTCGAAAACGTGGCCAGTAAATGGGTCGACGAGATCTCGGAAAACTGCCCCGGCGTCAAGATGGTCCTCACAGCGCTAAAGTGCGACTTGAGAAAGGACGAGTTCCTCAACGACAACCCCAACGTCATCACCTACGAGCAAGGGCTAGCCAAGGCGAAGGAAATCGGCGCCGTCAAATACCTGGGTAAGCACTGTCGCACAGAGTGCGCAGCTGACCAGCTAATTGACTAACCTTTCTCTTCTTTTTCCTATAGAATGCTCGGCCGTCCAGAACCGCGGGATCATGGAAACGTTCTACGAAGCCGCCAAAGTCGCCCTTGACGTCAAGGGCCCCGGATCCAGTGGCTCCAAGGAGCGTTGTGTCATCCTGTAGACACATGACTACCTCGTCGGTGTCGCCCACCACTCACTTCCCCCTGCTCGTCTCGTTTCGGCCATTTGCATGCCACCATATACCCGTTTCCTTTCTGTTTAACCGTTGATGCGGAGCTCTGCTTTGTATGGTCTGGTTGTGTTGGACTTGATAGTCTACTGCCTCTCACAGACTGCGTCTTCGGCGCCCCAGCCTGCTACGCTACGCCCGTCTTCGATTCATTTTCTTCCCTTCTTATATATACCTTTTTCATTTCCCCAGTGGTTTCTTGTAATTCGTTTGTACCCTAGTCCATGTGGTATGTGGCTGTTTATTTTGCAAGTTTTCAAGACGGGCTTTAGATATGCCCATGTTTGTCAATTCTATCGTTTCACTTGTACAGCGGAGATGCTGCGTGTTGTTTTAAGGCCCAAGAAAGGAGAACTATGAAGATGTACTACCTATTTACCTACAAGCTAACGATTCAATCTATCCGTCTATTGATCTCATCTTGAACCTTTCGCAGTCAAACACACCAACAACACACCCTGCCACACAAGACAGTAATATAATATACATCACATCAAATCCCCCTCAGCAACACTATAGACCCCCTCAATCTTCTCCCCCGTCCCAGAGCCAGAACAAGCAAAATCCCTATTCACCCTCTCCACAAAAGCCCCCACAAACCCATCAGCAACCTCCCCAATCCCCACACCCTTAACGCCCTCCCCCTCCAGACTCGTCGCCTCCCGCCCCTCAAGCCCACACGGCACTATCTGCTGAAAATACCACATCGGCTCCTGGCTCACGTTGAACCCGATCCCGTAGCTGCTGATGTTTCGCCGGAGGTGCACGCCTACCGCTGTGATTTTCTTAGCCGGTCCGTCCCCCCCGTTGTTGCTGCGCACCCACACGCCGGGGTCTTCGGTTATGAGGCCCTTCAACCCGTATCGTGCTAGGACGTCCACGACGCTGTTTTCTAGTGCCCGGATGTGACACCGCGGTGTGAGGCCCAGCCGTCGGAGATCCAGGATTGTGTATGCGACCATTTGCCCGGGGCCGTGGTAGGTTGTTTGGCCACCGCGCAGGGTGGGGTGGTACTCTGCGCGTTTGGTGGGGCCGGTTAGGATTGGGCGGATGGGTTCGAGGGCGGGGGGAAGGGAGAGTGTGTTGCTGTTGTTATTATCATTGCCATTGCTGTTGGTGGTGGCTGTGTTGGAGGGGGGAAGGTCGCGTCGGCCGGTTGTGTAGACTGGGTTGGGTGTGAAGGTTATGATTGTGGGGTCTGGGGGTGGGTGGTGGGGTGCATTGTTGGGGTTGGCGTCTGTGAGCTTTTTGTGGGCGAGGAGGCGTGAGGTGAGGGTTTGTTGGAGGTTGGAGACTCTTGCGAAGGAGGTTATGTCGGGGAGGTGGAGGTGGGCGAGGCGCATTTTTGTTGGTTGCTTGGGTTGTGGGTTGGATTGGGGCGTGTATGTCCTCTCTTGAGTTGTCTATGTGTGTGTATGGCTCTGATTGTGTGTGTATGGCGGAGTGGTTGTAAAGATTGAGGCATGCAATTGAGATGTATGATGTGCAGCTATGTCGGCAGTGGGAGTGCTCCGCGGAATACTCATTACGTCGGCGATGGTGAGGTCATGTGACGACTGCCGGATCTATTCATCTCGTACTATACTAGTAGTGTTGACACAATGTGAACTACATTTGTAGAATGTAAAGTTCTCAATCTCTCAATTTCTCGTACAATCTCATAGCATGAACACGGAGAATAAAAGCCCATTATCCCCATAACAACCAATTTGGCTCCGTAACCTTAACTAGAAACAAGAAAGAAAAAAAAAAAATAAATAACCACAGCACTAGCAGTGCAATCCCAATTAAATTGCAATTTATAATTAAACATGTCCATTGACAAGTCTCTCATCTGTCTCTTCTTCTTCGCCCTCCCGCACCACCAACCAATCTCGCACACCACCCTTCCAGTCCGCGATCCGGCCCTCGCTCACACGTACGGTGACCACCCGGACGTCGCCATCCGTCGAGATGCTCGGCCGCCGCTGACCTGGTTCCCGTTCTTGTCGCAGCTGCTGCCCGAAAATGTTCATCTCCTCCTCGAAGGTGTTGTTCTCGAGATGTTGCTCCTTGCACCAGGCTTCTTCCTCGGAGCCGGGTTCGAGGAACCGCGCGGAACCCGTGATCGTCGTGGAGATGCTGGACAGCGCGCTCGTGTTCAGATTCAGAAGGAGACTGGCTAGCGAGGACCGGGTTGCCGCTGGGGGCGGGGACCCATCACGTTCCCCGCCTGGGTTCGGAGCCCGGGTCGGGGGTCGGTGGGACACCCAGTCGTGGACCAGGAGTGAAACGCGCGGATTGGTAAGCAGGTGGTTGGTCTTGCGTGACGAGGTGTTGGTGGTCATGATGATTGTTGGGTAGGAGTCGAAGGGGGTGGAGGGGAGGTAGGTGTAGGACATGAGGGAAATGTGCGGGGTCATGCCATCACTGGTTGCGAGGTGAAGCTGGTGGTCAGTCTGTCAGCTGGTTTTCTTGTTTCCCTGCAGATATCGTCCAACCCGACGGATAGAAGACACGGATAGAAGACCGGGAGAGACCTACAAATCGCGAGTTCTTCAGACTTGCGACGACTTCCCGAGGAAGGGTGGTTGCGATATGCGGGTGGGTGGTTGTGGCCGATGCCTCATACGAGAGGGGAGGGTTCAGCGATTCGCTCATGGTGTTGGTGGATCTCTTTTAGGAGTATAAATCATATATCAGCCCAATAGGACACACGGGTGTACAGTAGAATGACCCCAAAGAAAATCTCAGAGATGGCTTGGCAGGCAAGATTGACGATGCGCATTGAGCAACAATCGGCTGATTGATGGCGCTGGAACACAGGACTGTCCACTAGTCCGCTTTGGGACAGGCGGTCGGTCGGGCCCGGATCGCCAGGCATCCACGGATTAAGTAAGGCTGTATTATATAATCGGGCGGGAGTACTGTATTGTATTGTATTGTAATGAACTGACGGACCTGATAGCTCCAGTGACGTCATCGTCGAGATCACTGGGTCACTGGATTAATGGATCAATGGATCAATGTGTCCCGAATTATGGAGTCTGTTGTGGAAATTTAGATGGATCACTGCCAGAAAAGAGACTAGGGATTATTTGCTAATTCCCAAACACAAGCTGCATGAGAGCTACCACTCGTGTCCCGTCCGCTGCAAGACGTGGAGACTGTCGTCATGGTGTCTTAGTGGGTGAAGATCAGTTACCACCAGAATCCACTCAGCCAGCATACATTGGTACACCGTAGATGATAATATCGCGAGAGAAGTTGACCAACTACGTAATAAGATAATAGGATAAATCGTCAATAAATGAAGTAGGAAGAATAAGCATTCGAGTATTAATATAGCGGTACAACCAACCTACTGTACCACTGGAAGACGGCCTAAGTACCACCTATCACACCCAATCTACCACTACTAGGATAGCTCGAGCTATTTCCCCGCACTCACACGGGAAGCTACTGTACCACTGTTTGCTGCCCCAGGATTTCTCTCTCTCTTTCTCCCTTGACTTCTTCCTCTCCTTCTTCCCCCCTTCTCTTTCTCCTCTTTCTCCTCCATACTAAACACCCTGGTTACTTCTTCAATCACCATTGGTGTCGCTCTCTTTCTCCTGGTCAAATTCTTGTCTTCTCCACCCGTGGCAGTCATTTCCATCAATCCCATCAATCCTCTGTCATCCGGATTGTTAAAGGTCATTCTTCTGCTTGTGATTCGACAGTCCCCCGTCCTGACCTGCAGCTTGCCTTCTGTGAGCCGTTTGGTCAGACCATCAGTCGCGTCTTGACTATCACTGATCTCATCCCTGCTCTCTCCTCTCTCTCTCTCTCTCTCTCTCCCTATTCTCTCGCTCGCGCTCTGTGCTTTCGGATTTCGGACTCCCCCCTCCTTTTGAACCGAACCCCTCTTTGTGTCTCCTTGTTGGTGTCGCTGCGTCGTCGGTTTTGCATCTTGTGGTCCCATCTCCAAACCTGCAAACTTCCGATCCCTTCGTCCGGCGCCGAAATCTCCCTTCTCCTTGTCGTCACCCTCCTTCCCTTCATTTTTACGTTGAACGTGGAATCTTGCATTTTGTCCACCAGAGCGTTGGTGTCCTTGTACGATTAGCGACCATGCTTTCTTCCCGTGTTTTGCGACCGGGGTCCGCCTTGCTGCGGCCCTTCACCACCTCTGCCACTGCCTACCGGTCCCCTTCCATCCGTGACATCACCCCCGAGTCGACGGAAGAGTTTACTGCACGCCAGAAGGAGTTCCGTGAGAATTTGGAGTCGGCGCGGAAGAGGAGAGAACAGCAAGAGAGTCAGTCCGTCGATGCTTCTGTTTCCACTTCATCCCCTGTTTCCCGTGATCGCCTCCGTGAGTACGCTACCGCTCCCGCTGCTCCGCGTGCGAGCAAGGCGAGCAGTAAAGCAGACTCTGCTGTGTTCGATGCAGCGGATGTACTTGACCATAAGGCATTGGGCTCACTTTCTACCCATCGGGTTCTAGGAGATGAGCACCACCGCGATCAGTCCCCCAAGCGGGGTCCCCTGTCCTCGCTCATCTACGGCACTAAAGAAGGCCAGCAACTCGACCAGGATATCGAACGTTCCTTTTCGCAAGTCCTCGCCCGCGGCAAATACGTCCATTCCATCGTCTTCCACGAAGTCCAACCCGACAAGGTCGACGAGTACGTGGACCTGGTCGGGCAGTGGTATCCCCGCATGGCGGGCACCGAGGAGAACCGGGTGAATCTGGTGGGGAGCTGGCGGACCCAAGTCGGGGACAACGACACATTTGGTATCCCCCCTCTCGCCTGCTAGGAATCTGCCCTCTTTTCACATACTAACCATCCCGCAGTCCACATCTGGGAATACCAGCGCTACGAAGGTTACCACGCCTCTCTTCACAACATCTCCGAACAACCCGGGTTTTCCGAATTCGACCACAAGCTGAAGAGCTTGATCAAGAGCAAGAAGACGTCCTTGATGCAAGAGTTCTCGTTCTGGCCGACCACGCCACCCCGCAAACTGGGCGGTCTGTTCGAACTGCGATCCTACACGCTTCACCCGGGCAACCTGCTGGAATGGGAGACCCACTGGCGTCGGGGCCTCAAGGCCCGTCGCGAGGTGATGGAGGGTGTCGGCGCATGGTTTGTCCAGATCGGTGATTTGAACACCGTGCACCACCTGTGGCAGTTTGCGAACCTGGAGGAGCGCAAGGTCCGCCGCGAGCAATCATGGGGCATCGAAGGTTGGGCCGAAACTGTGCACAAGACGGTGCCTCTCATCCAGACCATGCAGAGCCGCATTCTGATCCCCATGCCCTGGAGTCCTGTCGGCTAAACATGTTGTTTCTACAACCGGAGGACGTCTTCGATACGAAATTTGCTCCCACGCCTGCATTATGACCCACTTGGCCCAATCCGCCCGACCCGAGGTCCCTGAGGAAGTTGGTTGGGCAGAGGCCAAGGAAAGACATCGGACGGTGATCGGTTTAGGAGGAAATGACTGGTGCGTTGCTTCTTGTTCTACTGGAGCGAGCAGAGATCTGTGAGTGTGAACGAAGTCCGGGGAATAGTTTGGTCGACCCTCGGGCACTATCGCCCACTAAGCCGTACCGATATTAGTGTGTCCAATATTAGCAGCATTATTGGAGTGATTATCATCCATATTCTATATATATTCTTTTTCTTTGAAGTTATTGATCTATTGGGCTAGTCTAGTGGCCGTACCGTAGTGAGAAATAGAATCCAAAATGTGGGGTTTCTTCTGGACAATGGACAGGACATAGTGATTGTCTAGCCATGTGTTTTGCCTCGGACGAGCACAGTCCGTCGCCGTGATGGTCATCCCCGCGCGCCGATCGCCTTGCTAACCAATGGAATTGAACGAGAAAGCATGAATGAGTAGAGACTCGAGAGATGAGAGGCCAGTGGCGTAGAGAGATGATCCGACCGTCCTTCCCCTCAGTACCTAGCATAGCAGTAGTGGAACTGCGACAGTAAATTAAGACCGACACATGTGCGTTGCGCCGTCCGTCCACTTCCATTCAACCGTGAAGGGCAAACAAGTACGCACTATCCACTCTCCAATCCCAATCTCCCATCTAATCTCCATTGATATCAGGTTGTCAGGTTGTCAGAGTGGAGACATCAATGTAATAAAATGTAACATAGTGTCACGAAAAGGGGGGAGCCTTACCGGGCGGTAGAACTCTCTAGTGTCCGTAGTTATGTAGTTAGTTACCCCAGGCAGAAAGATTGGGTTCCCGCGCGGTAAGCCACCCGGTGCCCTGTTTTCTCTCCCTTTTTCCGCCGGCAGAAAATCCGGGATTAAACCAGAGGGAAAAAAAAGAGCTGAACTCAACACATCAACATCATCATCAACAACAACAACATCAGCATCAGCCCGTTGCGTGTCCGGCTTTGCGACTCTCTTTTTTTTTTCTTTCCCTCTTTTTGATCTTTCTTCCACTCATTTTCATCCTCTTATAAACTCTTTTCAGCTCCTTTTGTCTATTTGCCCTGTCTTCTTTTTCTTTTGTTTGGGATCCCTGATTATCTGGACTTCCCAAGGTTAGGTTTTCACCCCGGGTTTTCTAGCCCCATTTTACCCCCTTTTCTGAGCGCCACCGGGGTTCTCGATCTGGCCTCACCCGTAAGAAAAGTCTCAAAGACTATCCCTGGTTTCGCAATAGTGCACGGGAAGAGAATAAGACAAATCAAATCAACAAAGAATACCCCACACGGACAGCCAACATGGTGTACATCCGGCAACACCAGTTGCCCAATCTGAAGAAGTACTGCTATGCGGGAGTCGACCTGTCCCCGATCAGTCAATATGTTCTCAAGCCGTTCTATAATAATGTCGTCGTCAAGTGTCTTCCGATGAGCATGGCGTGAGTAACGATGCGCTTGACCTTTTTGTATGCCGGATGAAACTAACTGCGTGCCCTTCTGGCTACCTTTAGTCCTAATGCTGTAAGTTACCGCTCTGCTCGTCTGGCTTGGTTGGTGGGTCAACTTGTCTGACTTGGGGCTCGGCTTTTAGATTACTCTGACGGGGTTCTTTTTCGTCATGATCAACTTCTTTACTATGCTGTGGTATAACCCGACGCTGGATCAGGATTGTCCACCTTGGGTGTATGCTAGTTGCGCTGTGGGTCTGTTCTTGTATCAGACTTTTGACGGTGTAGATGGCATCCAAGCGTATGTTTTGTCGCGTTGCGCCGTGGTTGATGGTTAGTGCTGGGGTACTAATGTTGGTGATACAGACGGAGAACCAAGCAGAGTGGCCCTCTGGGTGAGCTGTTTGATCACAGTAAGTCGACAAATTGGTTTTCGCGCGTGGGAATGTGGAGATTAACAGCTGCAGGTGTCGATGCGTGCAACACGGCTTTGGGTGTGTTGATCTTTGCGGGCGTGATAAACCTTGGCCAGTCATGGTACACTATGCTGGCGCTGTTCGGATGTATGTGGATTGCCCATCTACAATTGATATCCGATAGACCCATGCTGACATACATGCGTAGCAACCGTGACCTTTTACATCCAGACGTGGGACGAGTACTACACCCAGGTGCTCACGCTGGGCGTCGTCTCCGGTCCCGTTGAGGGCGTCCTGACCCTCTGCGTCGTCTTTGGCTTCACGGCCTACGTGGGCGGCGGCAGCTTCTGGCACCAACCCATGCTGGCGACTATGGGCGTCCCCAAGGTGGACGCTATCCCGGATGCGGTGTACGACATGCCCTTCACGCAGTGCTACATGATCTACGGCTCCATCATCCTGTTCTTCGCCATCGGTTCTAGCATCCTGCACGTCATGCAAGTCCAGCGCAAGCGTGGCCAAGACCCCGTCAAGCCGCTGTACGGTCTCCTGCCGATCGTCGTGGTGTGGGTTCTGGTGTCCGCCTACTTGTACATGCAGCCCACGATCCTCGAGAACTACACGGTGCCCTTTGCCCTGTTTGTGGGCATGGTGAATGCGTACTCCGTGGGCCGGATGATCACCGCCCATCTGACCAAGACCGAATTCCCCTACGTTAATGTGCTTCTGGTTCCTCTGGCCCTGGCCGTCGTGGACAGTCTTGGACAAGTGGTCGGTCTCTGGCCGGGTGTTCTGAATGATGAGCCCCGCCAGATTGCCTTCATGTTCGCCTGTCTGGGCCTGTCTGTGGGTACCTATGGTAGCTTCATCGTACGTTCCTCATCCATTCTTTCCATACCCCACCCCCACCTCCCAACGAAGCTAACGGTGACGCTACAGTACGACATCATCACCACGATCTGCGACTACATCGACATCTGGTGCCTGCGCATCAAGCACCCCTACGTGGAGGGGGCCAACGGGACGGCGAAGAAGACCCGGTAGAGCCATCTCTTTCATCGCGGTCGGCGGTATGGGTATATCAACTATGCCATCCTGTTGTCTTCATCTTCATCCTTGCCATCATATACACAGAGGCATATATATATACAGTTGATTCGAATGCGGATCAGGGGAGGTTGGTATTTTCTTCGCGCGCCAGAAGCGACTGGGACGGTTCTTTGCGCAGAGTCCGGCTGATATGCAGGTACATAGGCTTGGGATTGTTTTGAACGGGTGCGGCGACGCTATGAGCGGGCTGTATACTGATTAGTAGATATGTAACTTTGTCTTTGTCTTTGATTCTGTTGAGGTTGTCCAGGTTCTCCAAGAGGTCCCCGTATGTAGTTACGTAGTAAGGCAATGATCTCGTGACCGCAAACAATATTACCTCATCAAGACTAGCGCGGTGACCGGCTTAGTCAGAGACGAACGGCAGCCTTAGCGAGGCAGGGTTCCAACCCTACCGCCTCCCCCCCCCAAACGGAGGTCCTGTTTGGTGCTGAGACGCCCCAGTCCAGAATTCGCTTGAAATCTTTGCGCTTCTCCAGATCACCTCCTCGCTTTTTCCATCCTCCAAGCAGGCCATCTCCGTCAGCGCTCTATTCAACTACCCACGCTGATCGACTTTTTGTCCCGACAAGATGGTATGTTGCTTTCGTCTTTTTTGAATGGGATACTTTGGTTTGGATTGTTCGACTCGTGTACGGTTTCTTCTGTTCTGGGCTTGGGGTCACGATGCCTCGATTGTCGCCCGCCGCCGCCGCCCGCATCCACAACACCAGCCCCCCTCGTCACCCGCCTGGAATCGAAAAAAATCATACCGAGAACGATGACCAGACCGAAGGATTCATAAGGAGAATGGAAAGAAAGGATCTAACGTTTGATAATTGATAGGTTCTCGCGGTCGACCTCCTCAACCCTACGCCTCAGGCCGAGGCCCGTAAGCACAAGCTCAAGGTAGGATCATCGGACTTGTACATCGAAAGGGAATGGAACAAAGGACTGAACAACTAATACAATGATAGACCCTTGTGCCTACTCCTCGCTCCTTCTTCATGGACGTCAAGTGCCCCGGCTGCTTCACCATCACCACCGTCTTCTCCCACGCCCAGACCGTCGTCGTCTGCGCCGGCTGCTCGACCGTCCTGTGCCAGCCCACCGGTGGCAAGGCTCGTCTGACCGAGGGCTGCTCGTTCCGCCGCAAGTAGACGATTCGCCTACGAAATTTAACAAAAATGCGGAAAGAGATTTTTCGGGTGCGGAGCGATGAAATGAAAAGAAATGTGGCGTTCTTCTGAAATGATGGATTAATATTATCTTTTTTTTTTCTTTCTTTCTTTCTTTGCTCAAAGCTGCTTGCTGCTCAGATAGAAGATGGAATTTCTCCTCGCCCCGAACCTTTTTTTTCCCACTCTCTATCTATCCCCCCCGGTCCCGTCACCCTCGCCCTGGGCGTGTTTTGAGGGAGTCAAGCCCCTCAGGCGCGTTTAAACCCTTTTGCTACACAAAAATACAAAAAAGGTTTTCTCGAAGGGAATTTTTTCTTTCTATCTTATACCATGGCATGCTTGCTTCGAACTCGCCAAAAAGCGTGTTTCTTTTTTTACGATATTCTATCTACATCCAGGGGAGTTCCGGATATCTGGCAATGATCGATCGTCTTTTCTTCCATCTACGTTTTGAATTGGTTGTTTTAAGTGCTGGTGGATACGTGGCACATTGCACGAGCATGAGCATGAGCATCGGTCAATGCGGTCAGGATTCACATGTCAGATGTCAGATGTCCGGTCGAGGGAAGATACTTGCTTCTTTTCCGTTGACAATGACGATGACGATGATGAATGACTGGTTGACTTGAGCTGCGAGGAAGCGATGTTCCTCGATGCTCATGGTTTGTGGCGAGGTCCTCTGTACCCTCCGCGCGTGTACATCTGTCCCCAGTTGTAATTGCATGTTTTGTATGATCGATCGTGGGGCCTGGATCTGTAGCTGGATGTGTAGTGTGGTAATATGTAGTTGAGTATCCGGACATGATTGAGTATTAGTGCCCTCGTATATTCTTATGGGTCTAGTGATATGTACTTGAACAATTTGAAGATAGTATCTACAGGACTTCAGGATGAAAGTACACCACTTATGTACTGTATGAGATCACGAGTGTCTAATTGATTTCTCCAAAGATAGTATACAATCAGATATAGCTAGCCACCAAGGCAGAATGAGATAATACTCACGTCTATTCATATCCATATCACTACAGAACCACCCCAGTAGACTTTGGGATATGCATTCATACCTCTTATAAACCTTTCACCAGCATTCAGCTAGACCCTATTTTGATCTACTCTGAATAGTATAGTTACAGTATGCAACGAATAGCCCCCATTATAAGTACATATATACATACGCAGTAAGCCTATCCATGTACAACCTGCAGCATCTCATTCATTCATAACAATAGTGACTGTCTGATCAAGCAGATTGTGTTCGGTAGTGTTGTGATAGTGCTAGTGTGTACTCAATTACCCCGGAGTATTGTTGTAGCCGGTTATCTCTTATCGGACCGACACTCGCTTTCTTTTCTCCCCTCTCTCCTGCACCATCCGTCCTTCTTATACTTTATACTACCTACCTACCTACCTACCTACCTACCTACACTATACATTGATCCCAGCCAAACAATAGGATCCAAAAAAAACACCATCACCACCAATTACATCAATAAATCAACAAGGAGGGAAAGAAAAAAAAAACAAATATGTCCCCCCGCCAACCCCTCAAACTCCTCCTCCTCCACGGCTACACCCAATCCGGCCCCCTCTTCCACATCAAATCCCGCGCCCTCATCAAACACATCACAAAGGCCTTCCCCCTCCACGAAGTCTCCGCCATCTACCCAACCGGCCCCTTCCAGCTCAGCCCCTCCGACATCCCCGGCTTCGACCCCTCCCAGCCCCCCGACCCAGACGACGTCCCCTCCATCTTCGCCTGGTACCGCCGCGCAGACGCCGCCGACCCCCCGCTTTACGTTGGCCTCGAGGCGGGGCTGGAAGCCGTTGCGAAGACGATCCGGGAGGAGGGCCCGTTTGATGGCGTGGTCGGGTTCTCGCAGGGCGCGGCCATGGCCGGGATGGTTGCCGCGCTTCTAGATGGGGATGATTCGGCGAGACGGGATGCGTTTGGGAAGTTTGCGACGTCGCCTGCGGCGATGGAGTATCCGCGCGCGTTCGCGGATGAGAGCTTGAGGAAGATCCAGCCGCCGCTGAAGTTCGCCGTCTGTTATAGTGGGTTTAGGGCCCCCGGGCCGAGGTATAGGGGGTTTTATGAGGATCCGCCGATTCGGACGCCAGTGCTGCATGTGCTGGGATCGCTGGATACGGTTGTTGATGAGGGACGGAGTCGTTCGCTGATTGAGGCTTGTGTGGGGGATCCGGAGAAGGAGGGGAATGTGGTTTGGCATCCGGGGGGACACTTTGTGCCGGCGCAGAGGCCGTATCTTGATGCTGTGGTTGTGTTTGTCAGGAAGTGTTTGGGGGGTGGGGTTGTGGGGGGGAAGGGGGAGGAGGATGTGAATGATATGGATGTGCCGTTTTAGAGGAACATATTAGACTAGATTTGGTGTACGGTTATATATAGACTCTTCGAATGATTCCATTATCCTGTTCTACTGTCGTTTACTTGTACCCGCCTGCTCGGCGCTCTATCTAACGAGCCTTGCTCTTCTCCCGGGTCGGAAGGATTCGAGCCATCATCTCCTCCTTCGTGATCAAATGGTCGATCCGCTCCAGCAGCCCCAGCAGGCTCTTCATGTCGCTGCTCCATTCGTTCAAGACATCGTCCGCATCGCGCGGCTTGGAGAAGCTGACTAGTCGCGCCGGGCGGTCGATCTTCGCGTAGATCGTCTTGAGCGTCACCAGGTCGCTGATGTACTTCTCCGTCTCCTCCTCCGTCAGGTCCAGCAGCTCCGTCAGCCGGCCCATCTGGATGCGAGTGTAATACTTGGCCACCACGCGCACGTTGTGCTCGATCACCCGCTTCTTCAGGTCCTGCCACCGCTGGAACGACTGGTCCTCGCTCGACTGGCTGGCTTCCGGGCTGAAGACATCCGTCTCGCACAGGTGCGGCCCGAATTGCTTGGCCACGATCGGCCAGCGCATCAGTTCGGGCGTCGTGAAGAGCTTGATCAGTCGCGCTTCGGCCGGGACTGTCGACAGCCGAGTGTCCTGCAGGATGCGGTGCAGCAGATCCGACTGTTCGTTGTCATATGGAGCCAGGGTGATGTAATATACGATCCGGGCCAGTACCTTCTGCTGTTAGTTGTGCACGGGAGAGACAGAGATTGAAAGACGTACCGCTCGCAGCTGCTCCGGGTTGTCCTGGACCGACTCCGTGTCCAGGACCTCTCGGTAGTGTTTGCACACTTCCAGGTACTTGTAGTCGTGGTTGGCGAGGATGATCTGTTGCTCAAAGTAGCGGAGCTTGAGGTCGGTCACGTCGTCATCAACCTCCATAGGAGCCTCGTCCGGTGCCCGAGTCTTCTCGCGCTCCTCAGCCTCCTTCCTCCGCTTCTCGATCTCCTCGGCGCTCTTCTTGGGCTTGCGCGCAAAGTACCGTCTGTTGATCTTGCGACTCAAGATGGTGGCTTGCGTCCAGTCACCCCGCTCTATGCACAGCGCCACCTGTTCCAAAATGAACTCCGTCTTCTCCCGTCGGGTCATCGACCCGAATGTCTCCACCTGCAACTCGCACAGGATGTCGGCCGCCGCGTTGATATCGCCTTGGGTCTTTTTGATGTTCGATAGGATGCGGGTCACGCGGGCTCTCTCGACTTCAACGAAGATCTAAAGACATCAGCAACAGATTCGTACGACAGACGTGGCGTGACTTACCTTCCCTTCCGTCACTGTCCGCAGGGTTTGAATGACAGACAGCTTCACATCCAGGTTGGGCGTCTCCTCCAGGAATCCCATCACCACCTGGACCATTCGCGTAATCGCCTGCTTCAGCTGGGCATGTTTCTTGGAGAGGAGGAGGACCTGGTCGTTGAGAAGACCCCAGTCGCCGGAGTTCTTGCTCAGTGTGACGATGGTGATAAGCAGGCGGGAGGTGGTCGGCAGATCCGAGGCCTGATTCACATTAGCAAATCTTATAGTTGGATATCAAGACGAAAGACCGGTGTCGCTCACCTGTCGCGCTTGTTTCTCCAGAACCAAGAGTTTATCGATGGCACCCTGCACATCGGTCTATACACTAGTCAGCATCTTGATGGGAAATCAGAAAACAAGCATCCCACCTTTGCCAACTGCTCCGCCTCCGGAATCAGCTTGTCGGCATCCTTGCTGTAGTCCTTCTCGGCCTTCAACACGCTTCCGTCGGCCATGATGACGTTGCAGGCGGTAACGGGCTCGAGGGGAACAAATGAGTGAAGGGTCGATGACTTCGAAATCTATGTCGACGATGCACGATACACCCTAAATGCGAAAGATTGAAATGATTCAGACGGTGGGGGCTGTCGAAGGGAGGGAGAGTGGATGGTCTGAATGGATGAAGCTGTGACGGTGTTCGGGCGGCCAGTTCGAGCTGGAAGCTGTCCCGCACGTGACCTCACATCATCCACCGGGAACTCTCCATCTCACCCACCGGATTTCGATTTGATTCTTTGTCTGTGCTAGAAGATTTACATATAATTGAGTCTACGGGAAAACTACCGGAGAACGCTAGGTCCGCTGAAAGATTGGATGCTGGAAATTCCCTATTTACAGTACAGTACATAGATAGTAACAACTCTACCCAGGATCAACAGCCCAGTATCAAGATATAAACCGAATCAGATCGAACTTTTGTACCGTACGCCAGTCCTGCAACTCTAGACAATAGACATCTTCCATATATAAAATCAAGCGATCAAGGGTGGTGCAGCGATTACTCATCGCTACTCTGGCCATCACTGTCACTCGTCAAGACCATCTCTTCCGCCTCCATTTGTCTCATGGCCGTGTCCCCTTTCTTGCCCTTCTTCTCCGCCGCAAACCAGGCCTTACGTCGACGGTTCTCCCGCTCCTCCTTGCGAGCGAGGCGGCTGACCTTCTCCTTCTGCGCTTGCTCCTGTTTCTGGTGGAGCGTGTCAATGTAATCGTGGAGGCCGGCCAAATCCGATCGCAGTTTCGTGAGTTCGTCGGTGGACGCCTGTCGTGCGGTGTCACTGACCGAGACCTTCGTGCGGAGTGCTGACAATTGGCCTTCGAGGAGGGCAATCTGTGTGTCTTGAGCCGACGTGTCTACCGATGCGGACGACGGCGCCGGTGCTCCGTTGATTCCGGGCTGGTTCAATGCGGCTAGCTCAGCCAGACCTTCTTCTAGCAGGGAGTCGGAGAAAAGTGCTTGGGTGAATGATTCGGCAAAATGGTCGGTCCGCGTGGCGTGCGGGGCCTTGGTGGCGGCGGGGAGAGAGGATGTCGAGGGCAGGAGATGGGTGTTGAATGTGTAATCGGCGGGGACGGCACCAGCGGTGTGAGAGTTTTCGGAGAGCGTGCTGTCATATCGCGGTTTGACGATCGTATGCGCCACCCGCTTCAGGTCGAGAGCGGGCAGAGAAAGTCCAATCGGGGGCAGCACGAACAGGTTCGTGACGGGGTGGGTGAAGTCCGCCACCGTCGACGCATACTTTCTTCGCCCCACACTCCACGAAAGAACCTTGCCGTTTTGATGACCGGAGAGTAATACCGCCCCGTCGTGCGAGAGCGACAGTGCATGGGCCGGGCCACACTCGGGCGAAGGCGGGGCCCACCGGTCTCCAGCTGATGGTTGCGCGGGAGTCGACTGTAAAGACGGATCGTGAAGCGGGTGCTGCACGGACTGGCTCTTATAGAAGTCCACTGACTGGATGCTACCATCCTCGTAGCCCGCGTAGAATGCCCGGTCCACCGGATCCAGAGTCAGGCTGACCGCACTGGCCGGCAAGAGGAAAGTCCGCAGCACACGTCCGTTATGGTAATCCCAAGCAATGGCTGTATTGTCCTGCGACGCAGAAACAGCGATGTTGTACCGGCCCGTGCTGTGGCCCACTGCAAGAGCACTGATGCCGGCGCGATGGTTCGAGAACGTACGGATGGGCGAGTTGGGGGGTTGACGATCGCGACCGGACGGAGGTTTCGTGAAGGAGAGGAGGTCGACCAAGGACCAGACATGAATGCTTGCGTCCGAAGAGCCGGACAAGATGAAGTTGGAGGTAGGATCAACCACGAGAGCCGTGACCGGGCTCAGATGCGATGCGGTCGTCGCAACCTGTCGACCCGTGCAGGTCTAGACGCCATTAGATCCACACGGCCTGTTACAGTCTCTCCAATCCGTATCAAAACAAGAACGACTTACCTCCCACAATATTAGACGACCGCCTTCCGTCCCCAAAACCAGCACATCTCCATTCTTCCCTCCTGCAATCGCAATGCTGCGGATGCGCTCAGGGAACGGGATGGTCGCTTCCTGGTTCCCCTTACTCCTGCTATACACATGGACCGTGGCTTTCTCCGACTGAGCGGCGAACACGTGCGACGGACTCACGGCCAAACAATTGGGCGCCGTGACGCTCTTCTTGAAGGTGGAACGAAGGGCCGGTGCGGGCTGCAGCTCATGCACGCAGATTCCCACATCTCTGAGGCTCGCAGAGGCCGGGGTTTTGGCCGACGTCGAAGTCGACGCGATGAAGTGCTCTGAGAGCATGAGGAGCGGCGAATTAAGATGGTCGTAGAATCAATATTTTCAAGACAAATGAATTTGATAATATTGCTTCAAGATCGGCGATAAAATCGACGATAACCGTTTGCACTGTTTGCTACACTAGCCTCTTTTGGGACAGGCACAGCTGACTGACTGGGTGGATAAAGTATGTACAAAATCATCGCTATCAAAAGAATAATTCAGACGATTAACTTCAACCTTTGCGACTCTCTCGTTCATGATCATCTCCCAACTACTGAGTCCCCTTGACTCCTTACCAACTAACCCTTACCACATAAACCCAGTGCCTGCGATGTGCCCTGCGTTAGCTCGACAGTGCAAAATGAAGTTGGATGGGTAAAGCCCTAGAGAGGAGAGTGAGCTCCCTTTCACCCTGGGAAGCTCCTAATTATAATCCTTTGTACCCAGGAGTCACTCGGGGCAGCTTGATACATTTCAAATCTCTTCAGGATGAGCGAGGCAGTCGCTTGCACATGCTGCTGAAATTACGATTCCCTCGCGAAATATGGGCCCAATGGTCCTGTCTGCAGCAACCTCCCACGCAAGGGGGTGGGCCTTCTAGGGATGTTGCCTTTGATTGCCCGGCACAACAGCGGCAGCTGTTGACCAGGCAGCCAACCAGGGGAGCCCGGCGTCCTCGCGAGGCTCCTCTAGGGGCGTCCTCCCTCTGTATGTCTCATGCCGGGTGTAATGACGAAATGCAGACTGCCTGGGAAACAGACAATCCACGTTGTCCTGACCCTGCAGGTGGTACGCTTGGGGGCTCTGATCCAATCACCAGGCCGGTTGCCGCATTTCCGCCGTTCTGGTATGCAAGGACTCCAGGTGGAGTGGCCCTTGGGAGTTCAGGACGCTCTTGTTCTTGAGTGTTGGGGGGATCCTCTGGAAGGGGGTTGATACATTTGCCCTGGTGTCTCTGGCTTACTGTCACCGCCAGACAGACAAGGGATGTTTGGCCCGAGCATGGAATGGTTGTATAAGGCCCTGTCGACCGCATGTTCTGTTCACTTCACTCCTATTTTGGTTGTTTTGCCCTGATCCTCTTTTCCCTCTTCTCTTCTCTTTCTTGTTTGTCATCCCACACAATCGTTGCTTCGCAACTTGATCCCTCTTGCTTGTTTCCGACTCTGGAGGTCGCCATGTCCGAGATGGACTACAATCGCGTGAAAATAGACTGGAAACCCTACTACCCTCAACACCAGCATGCGCTGTCCGCGAATAATGTCCCGACGTATGCAGGCCGATCCGTGCCCTCGTACCATGTAGGAAGTGAAGAGAACACGTACCGTGGGTGTAATATTTCCTCTCCGCGATACTCCCCATCAATTCAGCCATGGCGGAAGCAGCAAACGCAAAGCTCTCTGTCGTTCGTTCCATCGACCTCGCCCCGCATGGATCAGGTCGAGTATACCACCGCGCAGCCAAAGCGGCCCGTAGACCGGGCCCCGGTCTGCATCTCGCCCTTCCGCTCCGTGCGGAGGATGAAACAACCGTTCCAGCTACGTCTGCCGAGCTCCCCATCAATGGAAAGCCTGCAGGCGACCCCCAAGGAACGCCAGGCGTCTCGCTCCCCGTCATCGAAGAATCACACTCTGCGTACCTGGCGCTCAGACCAGAACCTCACAACCTCGAGTATGGAGACGTTTGGCCTCCTTCCCAGTCCGCCTCTCTCCGATGCGATTCCCCCACACTCCCCGTCGTCCGCTTACTTTTCGCCTCAACCTGGCTCTGAATCCGACTACAGCCAGTGTACGCCCAAAAGCTGCAACCATGAGCTTACTATCAAGCCGTGTGAGGTGGCGAAACCGTTCACACCTGAACCCGAGACGGAGGCCCCCAAGACGACGGGATCGACAAATGTCCACATGGCTCACTCTCATTTGGTTCAACAGTGTGAATCCGGCGACGGTAATGTACCCCGGACATCCACCGACACGGAGCGTATGTCGTCACCCGCGGGATTTACCAGTAGTGGATCTTTTGGGAAACGTGATTTATCTTGGTCGTCGGAAGCTACCCAAAGAAGTCGTTCGGGAACAGTTTCGAGCGAAGGGAGCTGGGTCCCGAGCAATCTGTCGCACTTTGAAACCTGGCTTCAGCGGGCTCCCGTGGAGATGACGGTGGCCAGAGGCGAAGGACCCAAGGACTGCAACCGAAGAAAGTTCCAAATCGTACAACAAAGCCCTCCACCCCTGGGACCGAAGAGCACTTCGGTGATACCGGCTGAGCGAAAAGTGCCAGATGGGCCGAGACTGCCAGATGAACCGAACGTACCTGACGAGCCTGTGGTAACCTTGCCCTTCTTCCGGCCCCATTATCCCGACATCACGCTGACTATTGCAGATCTTTGCTCGAAAAACAAAGCCCAAGCTGGTTGACATCTCTCGACAATCTTCTCCACCGACGAGCTATCCAATACCGGCCCCGCCAACCCGTACAATACCGTCGACACCCGATCAACGTCAGCGGGAGGTGTCTGCCTTCAGTCCTGACACGCCCTTGGAGATGTCCGATAGTGGCTATAATACCCAAGCTTCCTGCTATTCTTTGGATGAATACCGAGACGACAAGGAAGACGATGACTACACCGACGCAAGCTCGCTAGCCTCGGACAGTGCCAGTGCGACGGTTGTCTGCGAGAAGCCCCCGGAACCCCAAGAACAACCTAGATCACCACCCATCCCAGGCATACCGCCCCGGACTCAACCATTACCCAAAGCCCAGGCATCGCCGCGGCGCGAGTCCCACCTCTCGGAGAAGGAAGAGCTGGGGAAATGGTGGGACCACGAATGGACGATAGATCAGCTGGAGCACTCGGTGAAAGACTTTCCACGGAACATGCTAAGACTGACCTCGCCCGTCGTCATGTTCATCCGACACAACAACGAAAAGGCCCTGATCCGGCCGTTCCGAGATATATTCCCTGACGTTGCGGAGAACCTCCTCGACGGTCTCTGTGCTTCACTCATTGCACGAAACCATGTTGTTTCGCTCGCCTCAGGGAACAAAAGGAGCGATTTCTCCCAGCGACCAAACCTGCCTCGCTTGGATACCGTCCCCGAACGGATTCCACCCTCGACGACCATGCAATTCAGTCAGCCCGTGCCGTCGCGCATCAAAGATAGGGTTCTCGGTTCACGCGGCACGGAGCTCCGTAAAGAGCTGGATCGTATCATCGACAATCTTCTATTTGCCATTACGGGGCGAGAGCAGGATGAGACATTGAAAGCTTCCGTTCTCGCTCTTGCTCAGGTTCTGGAAAGCAAAGTATAGATGGTTGCTAGTATGCACCGTCTACCTTGAACGCCCAATTTCTCCCTCGGACATTTGTCCACTTTCATTCTTTTGCAAAAATTTGGCTAGACCAAGTGGCCTGCTCTCAACTTCTTTTCGTCACTCATTCTTTTCACCATCTGTGTTTCTGTCTATCCTTTCGTCGTCGATATTCCTGCATCGTCTGGCAGATTTCCTTTATTTGGTTGTTGGATTGGTTCTGTGTTTAATGTGTAATCGTTATTTGATATTCCACTAGATAGATTGGTCTGTGACCTATATACTAATATCACACTTAATAGACTTCTATACTTAAGCTGTTCTCTACTAGATAGTTACTAGATGATGTATTTGTAAGACACCCTCAGGCAGACATTGTGTGACCGCCTCCGGATGAGTCATCATCCGTTATCACCGGAATTGCCTCATCTGGCTCGACTTTCCCGCGGAATTCAAGCCTTCTTTTTCTCCAACTCCCATCGCCCTTTACACACCCTCACACACACAATGGCCGCCTCAACGGGACGTCTACGATTTCTCTGCGGTGCCTCGCCGAGGGTCATCCCCCAGCCCAGAGTTCTAGTTCCTCACAGCAGCCGCACCTACGCGACTACCGAACCCTCCTCCGTAACCAACGGCGCCACATCGCAGAAACCACGCACTAACTTCACGGACAAGCTCAACGCCGGGCCCTCGTTCTCAGATTTCGTGTCCGGAGATGGTGAAGATGCACCCCTCGATCCGTCCGAAGCGTACGCCCTCAAAACGGCCCTCGTCGGCCCAGCCGGCCGCAAGAAGGAGATGACCCGCCTGCCCTCGTGGCTCAAGACCCCCATCCCGGACTCCAAGAACTACCAGCGCCTGAAGAAAGACCTCCGCGGCCTCGGCCTCCACACCGTCTGCGAGGAGGCCCGCTGCCCCAATATCTCCGACTGCTGGGGCGGCGACGACAAGTCCGCCGCCACGGCTACCATTATGCTCATGGGCGACACCTGCACCCGCGGATGCCGCTTCTGCAGCGTTAAGACATCGCGCCGCCCGCCGCCGCTCGACCCGCACGAGCCCGAGAACACAGCTGAAGCCATCTCCCGCTGGGGTCTCGGCTACATCGTGCTCACGAGCGTCGACCGCGACGACCTCGTCGACGGCGGCGCCCGCCACTTCGCAGAGACCGTCATGAAGATCAAGCAGAAGAAGCCCGGCATGCTGGTCGAGTGTCTGACGGGCGATTACAGCGGCGATCTGGATATGGTCGCCCTCGTCGCCCGCTCGGGCCTAGACGTCTACGCTCACAACGTCGAGACCGTCGAGCCTCTCACCCCCTTCGTCCGCGACCGTCGCGCCACCTTCCAGCAGTCTGTGCGTGTCCTCGACGCCGCTAAGAAGGCCCGTCCCGACCTCATCACGAAGACCTCGCTCATGCTGGGCCTCGGCGAGACGGACGAGCAGCTCTGGGATACCCTGCGCAAGCTGCGCGCTGTCGACGTCGACGTCGTCACCTTCGGCCAGTATATGCGCCCTACGAAGCGCCATATGGCTGTTCACGAGTACGTCACGCCTGATCGGTTCGAGCAGTGGCGCCAGCGTGCCCTTGATATGGGCTTCCTTTACTGTGCGTCCGGTCCCTTGGTTCGCAGCAGCTATAAGGCTGGTGAATCTTTCATTGAGAACGTCTTGAAGAAACGTCGGGCGGGTACGGCCGGCGCGGAAGACGCCGTGAGCGAGAAGACTATTGTTGGCGAGGCGACTCGCTGATTGATACATCTTTCTTGTTTTGTTTGTTTTTTTCTTTTTTTACTTCATCTTCGGCGCGGGTTTCAACAGCATCTTGGGTGGTTTCATTTTTCAATTTATATTTTGTCTTTTTATTATTATCATGTTGTTTGAGGTGTATTGGTAGACGGATGGGCTGCACAGCAGTGAAAAGCACCTTACCTCCTATGCAGATAGGCTGGTTTGTATTTTTGAAAAGATTAACAAGACAAGGCAATTGCTTAACGCTCGGGTTGAGAATGATATCAAAATCAGGGAGAGCTTCAACACCCTACTACACTCACCAGGAAATCTAACTTTCTATACAACGAATTAATCCAAGATATAGGTATGTCAAAGTCGAATTTCAGATGAATTAATTGTCTACTGGTAGATCCCCTTTCACTGGACATATAATCCCCTCTCTCTCCCCTGGGATATCAATCATTGAGTTGTCCACAGTTCCATCAAATCTAACTCATTCGTGTGGTCGACTCGAGCGTATACTCCTACGATTGGAGTTCAGTAAACTACATGAGAGACAGAGATGCGATTGTGGGGTTCCTTTCTTCTCCTTCCGGTAGTGTGGTGTAAGCGAAACAAAAGCTGATAGGAAATAAGAGGAGAAGATAAAAAGAAAAGAAGAAGGGGAAGAGAAGGAAACGACGTATGCTGTCTCGAGTTCCGTAGACAAGAAAGAAGATGATAAGCCGGGACGGAAAGGAAAGGGGAAATCAAGATAGAAGGGTTGAATGATAGGTTTCGCACCGGGCGAAATACACTCTCTGTTTCTCTCCAGTTGAGTCCCCCTCGCCTGGGAACAGAATGGATTGGATTGGAATGGGAACGGAACATGTGCTTCCAAATAGATAACCGTAGGTCTTAACCAGTCGCGGGATATATGGGTATGTGTGTATAGGTGGGGTTGTGTCTATCACCCGTCAAGACCCAGCTACGATGTCTCCAAGTGATCACTCCTGACAATCTTACGTTCGTCATGCCAGACCATCTGTCGAGTCGCTCGTCAGCTCGTTGATGTCACCCTTGGTCATGCCCATGAGGTAGAGGACGTCCAGGAGGCTTTCCCCGTTCAGACGGGTCGGTGCTTTGAGCTGGACCATGCTCTTGGCCCGCCAGGCGACGCCCAGGCCGGCAGCGTGCAGCATGAGAAGGTCGTTGGCACCGTCGCCGACAGCCACCGTCTGGGAGATGGGGATGTTGTGTTCCGCCGCGAGGGACTTGAGGATTGAGCGCTTCTGTTCGGCGTCAATGATGGGGTATGTTGGGACCAGTTTACCCGTGAGGGTCTGGGTGACGGGGTCGACTTCGAGCTAGTGAGGATAAAGGGTTAGTTCGCTAGACAATCAAGCTTTGCTCCTTCTTCTTGTTTCGAAGACATACATGGTTGGCGCGAGCGTAATCAATGCCCAGCTCCCCGGCCAGCCACTCGGCCAGCGGCTGAAATCCTCCACTCAAAACGGCCAACTTGCAACCCAGGCTCTTCAGGCTCTTGCAGAGCTCCCGAGCACCGGGGGAGATGGTCAATACCGACTTGAGCTTCTCGAACACGTCCGCGGGAACGCCGTTGAGCAGACTGACACGCTCTCGCAGCGATTCGGAGAAGTCGATTTCACCGTTCATGGCTCGTTCGGTGATTTCCTACATCATATTAGCACTCGACACATGGGAATAATAGTGGAAGGGAAAATGAAGTGAAGAGAAAGAGTGCACCCACCGAAACCTGCTTCTCGACACCGATGAACCGGGCGATCTCATCGATCACCTCGTTCTGGATCAACGTGCTGTCCATGTCGAACACCACCAGGCGCTTGTGCCGGCGGAATACACTCTCCTTCTGCAGCACCACCTCCACATTCCACTCGCGCTCGAAGCGCCATATACTCTCGTGCTTGCGCAGGTCGGTGAAGGTGAGATAGTCGGGGTTCGGGGGCGGGGAAAAGGTCACTTCGACGACCCGAGGCTGGTCGTGCTTGTCGAGGCAGCGGTGCGAGGTGTTCATGCGCTGGTAGGGGGTCGGGAGGGATTCGATGATCTGCAGGAAATTCGTCAAGCACAGCTGCGAGACGAACGGCCCATACAGATGGTCGAGGGGTTCAGGCTCTGGCGCAGGGGGCTCCCGGGGAATCTTCTCCATGTCTACCGTGGGGGCGGAGCCCACGGGAACCATGGGGGACGGAAGCTTATCACCGGACCGCACATTGCGCGAGGAATCCGGGTGCAGATGGGGGTGGATGGGGTTGGAGGACTTGTAGAAGATGGTCGCGACGAGCTGCGGTGTATCGTGAGGCAGAGGGTTGTCGTGGTGGCCAAAGATACTATGCGTGACGCCGGTCTCGGTGACGCGATCGGGATCGGGGCTGACCGGATTGTAGTTGTTCAGCGACAACGAGGCCAACGCCGCGTCGTTAGGCTGATCCAGCACATTGCTGATCGTCTGATTGATGGGGACCGCCGGTTTGTACTGTTGGTGGTCAAGGATAAAAGAATTGCTGGACAAGGTATGTTGCAACACCGGGCGCTGGGGACGAGCCGCCGTAGTGGGGTTGGAGGCAGCCATTGTTGGAGCAGGATACGGGGCTGAGACTGCAAGACAGAAGTGGGAACGGGAGGGGGAAACTAGGCGCGTCCTCAAGGATCTACAAAGAAGGACCCGGGGGGAGTAACAGAGGGGAATGGCTATTCTGGAAGATGTTCGTCGAGATCGGAAAGGAGAGAAGAGACAAAAATCATCATGAAGCCATTTCCTGCAGGCCGCAACATCGATCGACACCTGAAAGAACAGAAAGGGAAAATCCAAAAATTAAAAGAGGAAAAAAGAACACGGCACGTGGTCGCTGTCCTGCACGTGATGGTGATAGCCGTTACCCGTCACCGCCCGGGGCAGAATAGCCGCAACTTCTTCTCTCCGACCAGTTGGCCGCGTTCATGTTAACTAAGCTGGAATTGAATTACTCGAGTATGCGACACGGACCAGGAGGGAGGACTGAGACCTGACTCAGCCCTAGTGGAGCCGATCACCAACCAACAGCATGGTCCTAGCTTTTACCGATAGAGAGAGGTGGAGGGAGGGGATGGTGGGATTATTATGAGAGGGAGAGGAAAGGAAAGATGGGGGAAGGTCAGAGAAAGGATGATGCAACATGGAAGCAAGATTGGTCATAACCCTCCTCCCAGATGACTCCAAGATCCTAGCCACTGACCGTTGAATAGAAGAGATTAAAGATTATTCAACCTGCCGTCAGTTCACGCAACAATGATGTGATCTGCCTGAGTGACCGGCAATCCGGCCTGGAAAAGAAGGCAAGCACGCCCTTGCGGTGGGCGGCAGAGACCAGAGCCGCAGATATTGCGTGATTTCTGGCCAGCATGAGCGAATCCGATTTTTCAGCATTCCCCCAGATCGGGCAGGCGGTCACAGCAGATGTCGTGATTGCCAGTCGGCAGAATGGACCGGCATGGATGAGTGATGGAGGGAAATGAGTGTCTCGAGCAGGCTGTGGATGTCGTGATTGCCCCTGCTGGCTGGTCTTTTATATCAGCCGGTTTCTGGACGTCTCTCCTACCTGCTTCACAGACCTCAAGCTTCAAACTCTTCTCTTTCGTCATACCCCTTTGCATTCTACCTATTCTCCAGTCATCCAGCCTTATTTATACTTCCAAAAACGGCCTGGACGCATCCTGATCTGCCATTGACTCCTCTTTGTTGCCTATTCCCCTCTGCACACCGGTTGACACCATGCCTGCCAAGATGCCTGTTGCCTACCCCTCCGAGGTCGAGCCCCTCGACTCGAGAGACTCGGGCTACTCCAGTGGCTCCAGTGATGAATATACCCCGGAGATTGTCTTCACCAAGCCTCATCTGCAGTTCCTCAACAGACAGTTGCAATTCCTCGAACCTCAAGGTAAGCCTCTCACTCCCCTTCCCCTCCTGGGTGATCCTCCTCCACTTTGGACCGTCGATCTAACGGGTTATAGATGTCCTGAGATGGTGTGTCACATCACTGCCTCATCTCTTCCAGACCACGGCCTTTGGCCTTACTGGTCTGGTGACCCTGGACATGCTCTCCAAGTTGAACGTGCCTCGCCCGCAGATGGTCGACCTGGTCTTCCTTGACACGCTCCACCACTTCCGTGAGACGCTAGATTTGGTTGACCGGGTCCGTGCCAAGTACCCGCTGGTCAACGTCCACATCTACAAGCCTCAGGGCGTCGAGTCCGAGGAGGAGTTTGCCACGAAGTACGGTGGCCGCCTCTGGGAGACCGACGACCAGTTCTACGACTGGGTGGCCAAGGTTGAGCCCGCCCAGCGGGCCTACCGCGAGCTCAACGTCCACGCCGTCCTCACGGGTCGCCGCCGCAGTCAGGGCGGCAAGCGTGGGGACATGGACATCATCGAAGTCGACGAGGCCGGTCTCATCAAGATCAACCCGCTCGCAAACTGGTCCTTCGATCAGGTGAAGCAGTACATCCAGGACAATGAAGTCCCCTACAATGTCCTCCTCGACCGCGGCTACAAGAGCATTGGCGACTACCACTCCACCCAGCCGGTCAGCGCCAATGAGGATGAGCGGTCGGGTCGCTGGAAGGGCCAGCAGAAGACCGAGTGTGGCATCCACAACCCCCGATCCAAGTACGCCCAGTTCCTGATGGACATGGAGCGCAAGCGTCAGGAAGAGGCCCTCTCGCAGATGCAGCCTTCCCTCACGACCACCGCACAATAGATGGTGCTGTCTTTTTAGACTTGCATAATCTGGCGTTTCTTTTTTTCTTGATTACTTCTGGGTTGGGAGTTCAAAAACACTAGCGGAGCTGCACACAGCATTGATATCATTTGTGGATTTTACAGGGTATGCAATTGGGAGGATAATAATGCCGTTATGATTTTTTTAAGACATTGGGATTTTGTTCCGTGGGGTTTTATTCCGAATGGGACGCTGTACATTGGAATCACCAATAATGATTAGCATGATCAAAATTACTTTACCACATTCTTTTCTCCTGTATTCTTCTAGGCTTATAATGTAGTGTACGTGTGGTAGACATCTAGTCTTTTCTCAGCCTAAGTAGGGCTGGTCGAAGAAAATCCTTTCCGTGCCATTTACCTTCGCCTACATTGACAGTTTAACACCCCCGCTCCATCCATCCGGTCTATCCTCCCCCACCGTTATGACCCGGGAGGAGCGTGGTACAATGTCGTCAAAATAACACGACATGATAAAATGCGGCTCAACAATCACGCAATCATGAACCGCCCCATGATATGATCGAGAGGTTCGATCCAGTCCCCATGATCTTCCGCTAACCGCGTGGTTCTCACTAACTGATCGAGAAATAAGCAGTGTCTTTGTTGATTTTAGGGCAAATCACGCAAGGCGGGCTAGTGCTGGCCAGGCAGGATCTTATCTTATCGATCGGATCTTTGCCGCTTACTTATAGTACTGTAGGGATGTCGTCGTGACTATGTTTTTTGTTTGGTTTTTATTTTTATTTTTTTTATTTTTTTTTTGTGGATTTTTCTTAATTTTCTTCTTGTTCAATTTTTATCTATTTTATTTCACTCATATATGTGGTATATTGTATCTCTCCAGTTGGGTTCACATTTAAACTATAATACTAGACGTAAGTTCGACGAACAAATCTAGGGCCGGCTGGATCACCTGACTCCCAACAAACACGATCACGCAAGCGGCGTTTGAGATGTCGCAATGCCGCCTCCGTTCTTGGCGCCACGTGAGTCTGCATAATTACTCAGCAACAGTACGTTTCAAGAGTATCTCGGCAAGATACAGCGACAAGACAGGTCGTACTGGTCCTCCGACGGTCTCTGTTTGAGGAACATGAAAGTGTCCCTATATCTCCGTCTGATTGTCACAGTCTGGGAAATACCCGGTCTAATTTTACCAACAGGGATTCCTAGACAGACGCAACGTAACAGAATTCCCGATTTACGTACCCAAAGGTCGCAGACCCCATGGTCCGGGTCTGGGAAATTTGCCCCCCCTGAAAATCATACCTTTTCTTGGTTCACTACGTTTTCCCTGGATGCCTTTCCCCGTCTCCGTTCTACTCTACTTCGTACATTGTGGTCTGATAGTTACTACATGGTCATTTTCAGGAGAGCCTCCGGGGAAATAAGGACGGTCCAGGGTGGCCAGGGGGATCGCTCTGAACGACGGTGGTTACGTCGGCGTAATGCGTATATAGTACAGTCGGGCTTGCCTATTCGTCGGTTGGATCGTTAGTGCGGAGACTATGGGATTGACTCCGTATACGATGTAGATAATGAGGGGCGAATCTGATATCTCTCTTTCCCTGTATCTATGGACGGGTTCATGATATACCTCGAAACATTAAGGAAACCACACCCGGAGTCATTCAGGAACAATAAGAAATCAGGAATCAAGAAGGATGGAAATGAAACAGTGGAGTCCAGTTGTCAGGGAAATCGACCGGATGAGTGGTCGTCATCAGCGGGGTGGATATGATCCACCTTGGATACTCATAATAACATTCGAGAACACTGTTGAGTTGTAGAGATGACGGTTGGTTCCTCAGAATCCAGGCCATGCACCTGGGTTGCCCCGATTAGGCAATCCTTGGGTCCGCTCCAACTTTTTCTTCTTCTTCTCTTCTTCCCCCTCCCCTCCTTTCCTTTTTTTCTTCTACTTCTCATCTCCCCCCCTCTTTCTCTTCACTTCTTCTCTATACCCTCCTCTCTCTACATCCTCTTTCTATCTTCCTACAATCTTCATCATGGCCAACCCTCCCCACGGCGGTGTCCTCAAGGACCTCATCGCCCGCGATGCGCCCCGCCACGACGAGTTGTCCGCTGAGGCCGAGAGCCTGCCCGCTGTCATTCTCTCGGAGCGTCAGCTGTGCGATCTGGAGCTTATCATGAATGGTGGCTTCAGTCCTCTTGAGGGTACAGTCTCCTCTCCATGATTCTTGTTTTCTGCCGGTGTCACCCATTCTTGGGGTTATGTCATTCATGCCTTACGTTCCTGGCTAACCACGCCTCTCCCCGCAGGTTTCATGAACCAGAAGGATTTCGACAGGTATGCGCTTGTCCTCTGTTCGAATTCTTATATATATGTGGATATATATATATACAAAGTTCTTTCAGAATATATCCCAAAATAAAGCGCTGGGAACTTGTCGTGCTAATTCATCCCAGTGTCTGCGAAAACTGCCGTCTGGCCGATGGTAACCTCTTCTCCATGCCCATCACCCTCGATGCCTCCCAGCAGGTCATCGACGAGGGAAAGCTGCAGGCCGGCTCTCGTGTCACCCTCCGTGATTTCCGTGATGATCGCAACCTGGCCATCTTGACCATTGACGACATCTACCGTGCCGACAAGTGAGTTTACCTCTGTTTTCTTTTATTCTATTTTTTATTTTATTTTATTCCCCCGGCGGACGTCGTTGTATTCCCGTCTGTGACGGAGCAATATGCCGATCCCCGACCGTCGTCGGAGATGAATCCCACCGCACTAGTTTGGTTTTCTCCGGCGGCGTTTCAGCCTGCCAGGGGGGAACTTCCGCCTTGTGGGTCTGTTGACGTGGATAAAACTGACCCCTTGTTTTAGGGCCAAGGAAGCCAAGCTGGTCTTTGGCGGCGATGAGGACCACCCCGCCATCAAGTACCTCAACAACAATGTCCAGGATTTCTACATTGGTGGTAAGGTTGAGGCCATCAACAAGCTGAACCACTACGACTATGTCGCCCTCCGCTGTATGTCCCCGATAACACCTTTCTCTGCGGAAGAAAACCATGGCTAATCCACACAATCAGACACCCCCGCGGAGCTGCGCATCCACTTCGACAAGCTCGGCTGGAACCGAGTTGTCGCTTTCCAGACCAGAAACCCCATGCACCGTGCTCACCGTGAGCTGACCGTCCGCGCTGCTCGCGCCCGTCAGGCCAATGTCCTGATCCACCCCGTCGTCGGCCTCACCAAGCCCGGTGACATCGACCACTTCACCCGTGTCCGTGCCTACGAGGCTCTCCTGCCCCGCTACCCCAACGGAATGGCCGTCCTGGGTCTGCTGCCCCTCGCCATGCGCATGGGTGGTCCCCGCGAGGCCATCTGGCACGCCATCATCCGCAAGAATCATGGTGCCACCCACTTCATCGTCGGCCGTGATCACGCTGGCCCCGGTAAGAACTCCAAGGGTGAGGAGTTCTACGGCCCCTACGACGCCCAGCACGCCGTCGAGAAGTACCGTGAGGAGCTCGGCATCGAGGTCGTCGAGTTCCAGCAGGTCACCTACCTGCCCGACACCGACGAGTACAAGCCCAAGGACCAGGTCGCCCCCGGCATCAAGACCCTGGACATCTCCGGTACCGAGCTGCGCAACCGTCTGCGTACCGGCGCCCACATCCCCGAGTGGTTCTCCTACCCCGAGGTCGTCAAGATCCTGCGCGAGGCCAGCCCGCCCCGCGCCTCGCAGGGCTTCACCATCTTCCTGACCGGTTACATGAACTCGGGCAAGGACGCCATCGCCCGTGCCCTGCAGGTGAACCTGAACCAGCAGGGCGGCCGTGCCGTCACCCTGCTGCTCGGTGACACCGTCCGCCACGAGCTGTCCTCCGAGCTGGGCTTCAGCCGCGAGGATCGCCACAAGAACGTGCAGCGCATCGCCTTCGTCGCCGGTGAGCTGACCCGCTCCGGCGCCGCCGTCATCGCCGCCCCCATCGCCCCCTACGAGCACTCCCGGAAGGCCGCCCGCGAGGCCGTCGCCGGCCTGGGCGGTTCCTTCTTCATGGTCCACGTCAACACCCCGCTCGAGTACTGCGAGCGCACCGACAAGCGCGGCATCTACTCCAAGGCCCGCGCCGGTGAGATCAAGGGCTTCACCGGTGTCGACGACCCCTATGAGGCTCCCACCAACGCCGACCTCGTCGTCGACGTCTCCAAGCAGAGTGTCCGCAGCATCGTCCACGAGATCATCCTCATGCTCGAGACTGAGGGCTACTTTGACCGCGCTTAAATCGGTCAATTTCTTAGATTTTGATTTTTTCTTATACTTCTGATCTTTTTTTTCTTTTTTTTCCTTTGTCTTAAGCCGGAAATGGGAATGGGAATGGGTCCCTTATTTTTATTTTTCTGTACAGATTTAGAGATAGAATCTCTAAGATGATCTCTTTTTTTCATAATAGAATCGAATCACTTTGGAACTGAATTGGATTGAGTATTTTGATCTATTTCTTACCAACCTGTAGCCACCAATATTGTATAATCTTCCGAGCTCGAAGATATGCCAATACTACCAGGTATGAAATAAGAATAGCCAGTTAGTCAACTAATCCATCAGTATCAAAAGCAGACACAATAGAATAGAGAGGGGAGAAAGTCAGCTGACTTGCATTGGTCTCCTTTATGATCTTTTCTTTTGGCTCTTCGTGTTTTCTTGCATTCTAGCAACTGTCCAGGACGGTTTCATAGCTTGAAGAATTGTTGGTGTTATTGGTGTTTTGACTGGTTTTATTGGTTGGTTCTTCTCACTATATATATCATGTTTTATGTATGCATTTACTGTCTATCTGTCTACCCATTCAGAATATTTATGGAAAAGGCTGGATTATAAAATGCTTTACGATTGATTGATTGCTCGAGAAAGAAGAAAACAAGACTATCTATATAGTCAAAGTAAGAAGGAAGAACTTGCTACAGTAATCGGCTCAAGCAGTGATACAATAATATAGATTGTAAATATGTATCAACTAAATACCTAAGAATCAACCAAACCTACAATACAAATGCACATCTAATATGATATGCTGCATGATAGAATAAGGCCAAGAAACAAAAATGATAAATAGGGGAATAAAAAAGAGAAAATAATAGAAAGAAAATAGAGACACACAACTCCTAACTCAACAAACCAACCGTCAAGGAGGAAAACGGGACCGCTCAATATTATACAACCCCATTCTACCGACCATACCCATAATGACTGTTTAATATCAATTATCCCCTCCTACGACGGTACCCTCGGGCGTGCTGATCTGGTACCCGTCGAAATTCAACGTGTATGTGGCTGACACGCCCGATTCCTCCAGGTCGATGACGTACTTTTCTTTCTTGGCTGGGTACTTGTCGCGCAGGTAGCTCTCGATGTGGTCTTCGGTGAAGAGGGCTGCGTCGAAGGCGCCGGTCTTTTCGAGGATGTAGAGGACTGCTACGCGGGCGAAGTCGAGGGTTTTGTCGGAGATGGCTTCTGGTGAGTGGTGGGTTGACGAGGCGGTGGAGGTTTTGGATGGGGACGCTTCTGGCGGGTCCTCCCCCTTGTCGGTGGAGTCGGATTCTGAGCTCTTTTTGACCGGGTGGTCGAGGACGATGCCGTCTTCTGTTGCGGCGGAACCGCGCGCGGATAGGGTGGCTGTGGGGAGATCGCGTTTGTTGGACCCGGTTGAGATGCCACGGAAGGCGATCAGGGCGTTCTCGGTCGTGCAGGACACGTCGTTTTGGCTGAACAGGGCCATGACGGTCACCGGGTCTAGGGGGATGCCGAAGTCGCTTTTGACGTCGCCGAAGAGCCGGGGAAGCTGATCGCCCATGGTTGCGTTGCGCGAGGATGAGCCGTCCGGGATCTCGGTGGCGATGCAGCTGGCGTCGCCGGCGACAGTACAGCGTGATCCTGTGAAGCCGTTGGTGCAGACGCAGGAGCAGACGTCGCCGCTGGAGACGCTGACTCCGCCGTTTTCGCAGGGCGAACTGGATCCGCAGGCGGAGTGACTCGCTAGGCTGGTGATGCGGCTGTTTTTGTGCTGGGGGACGACCACCAGGAAGACGGGGATCAGGACGGCGCAGAGAACGATGATGATGAATATGATGATGAGCACGATGAAAAGCCAGAGTGGCATCCCGCAGCAGCGCCGTGCAGGCCTTGTGCTCTTCTCTCCGTTGTCTTCCGCGTCGTCGTTGGAGTGGAGATGGTGCAGCTGGGATCGCCCGAAAAAGGTCGGCCAGGACGAGCGCCCGCCCTGGGGAGTGGACGCCGGAGGGGGGAACGAAGCCAAGATGTCCTTGAGAGATCCGGACTTGCGGTTTTGGCCTGGGTCGGAGATCAGCTTCAGCAGTCCTGTAGGTTTTTGAGGGGACCTGAGGTGACTTACCGTTCGGAAACTTGGAGCCTCCAACATTCAGGAGGTCGTTGCGGCTGGCTGTACGCCCGTGTTCGAGGTTGGTAGCAAGCCTCGTCGCCCGCCGGATCAAATCCGGCAAGCTTGTCAAGCTCCCTCGAGCCTCGGCATCCCGAACGGCATCCATGTCGAGACGGGGCGGCCGGCGACCAGTAGGGCGCTTGTCACTCATGGTCGGAGCCGCCAAAGGAAGTGCGCCCCCCATTTCTTTTTCCAACGCTGGGGAGTCATGGCGTTGCGGCTGGCCGATATTGACGACGACGGGGGCCTTTTCCCAGTCGAAGTGAGAGGATGCCGTTGACGACGACGAGGCGGAGCCTCTGTTATCCTTCGGACCGCCAGATGTATCCTTTTGTTGGGGGGCCCCGGAAGGTTCAGCTCCGGATGAAGGTTGCTTGATATCCCTGGGATAAGTGCCGGCCGGGGGCGCGAGTGATTCCGTGGTCGCCCGTTGGATGGTCCGTAGCGAGGGCTTGCCTCGTTTCCCCAGACTGGCCTGCCTTACCAGGGTCGGACCGTGATCTTCGTCGGAGGGCCGCGACTGGGGAGAATCCTCGCCCGAATCGGCGTCCAGGTAGGTTCCCAGAATATCCGACTCGGCCTGGGCGGATGCCCAACTAGGTACAACCGCGCGACTGGACGGATACGCACTCCGGGGGACGGTTGGGCTCTCAGATATCTCCTCGGGGATGGGCGAGACGGAGGATCGGCGGTTGATGAAGGAACGCGATGTGTGCGGAGGCGGGACGAGATTGGGCGGCCGTCGCGGGACGTGTTTGGGGATTGTGTTGTCCTCCGCCGGAAGGGGGAGCGTGGGCACCGGAAAATCAGGAATTGACGGAGTGGAAGTCGTCGATGCCGCGGATCGTCGGAAGAGCTCATCCGTGGCCACTGACACCCGAGGCGTCGAGTCGGCGTCACTGGTTGGGCGCGCAGGAATCGGGACCCTGGTGGCCGGGCGTGGGGGTGGTGGTTGCTGTGGCGGTCGCGGCTTCGAGAAGGACGGAACGGACCTGTTCAAATGTAATGGACTGGGTTCGGCATCGGAAAGACTCCTCTCCGAATACACTGACGGCGACGGAGCATCTGGACGGGGGGGTCTCTGCGGTGGCGGTCCCCTGGGGACAAACAGTCTTCCCTGGGGATCCACCTGCTGGGGTGGCATGGCACCACTGCCTGGCAGGGGCCACTGGGTCATATGAGCGGGATCGGCTCGGTAGGGGGGAGGACGCTGGAAGCCTTGTGGGGGCATTGGGGGTGCTTGAACTCTTGGGCGTCTCCCCGACTCGAGCATCTCCCTCGCCCGTCGCACCGAGCCTTTCGGCTCCGTCGGCCTCTGACCAGACGCCGGGTCTGGAGGATAGCCTGGATTCATTGGGGACGGGGCTGATTGGATGCGAAGTCGCCTGTAGAAGCACGAAGTTTGAGCAAACCAGGTCAACTGGTTGGCGAAATGAACGAAAGCAGAAGAGGTGCTTCAACCGGACTTGATGAATCTTCCCCCAAATGAAAGTGAGTAGAACCAATACGCCGTGCGCAGGTCCAAGAGAAGAAAAGAATGAAAGAAAGAGGAGAAGAATGATCAATGCTGTCAAGGGCACTCAATGCCTCTCTAGATAGCAGACCGTCAGCCCATTGAACACCAAGATGGGGTCAAATGAAGAGACCGTGGAGATGCATACCGCAGACAATCAGAAAGATGTTGAAAGAAAAGAAAGAAATCCCAGAGACGTGGACCACAATCCCATAGTAATCCAGATTGATACCGTCTCACCCAGGATTCCTAGTATGGAAAGAATTGATTAACTCCATCCGAACCAAATATTACGCAGAGATTAGACCTACCAAATCACTAGACAACCCGGTCGAGTGAAGAGGAATAAGAGAAGAGCGTCTAGCTCTTTAGGGAGGCTGAAAGAAGAGTGAAAGAAAGAAGGTCAGAAGAGAGAGTTTGAGAGTCTCAGACTTTCTCAAACCCTCCTCATCAGGCTCCCTCTCTCTCTCTCTCTCTCTCTCTCTCTCTCTCTTTCTCTCTCTGACACACTCTTTTAGGTGGGGATACATCGGGACGAGGAGAAGAACCGTCTATTCCGACCGAGATTGGCCAAGATGGACCCAGGAGAGGGGAGTGGAGGAAGCCAGAGTCGAATTGAGCAGCAGGAACGAAGCAGATTGGAGGAGAGCGCGAAGAGTCGAGAGAGCTAAGGTCTCAGCGTGATCCGGCTCTAATCCTCTTCGGGCGGATCCATGCGAGCTCCCATACGAGATAATCTACGCGGTGGATCCACGTTGAAACACTCTCTCCGCCTCTCTCCCGTCATGTCGCCCAATGACCATCGATTGACCAGGGATTGAAGGGTCCGTTGGATCCATCATGTCTCGACCCTCCAGGCCTTCCGTGATATTGCCTGACCAATGCTCGAGTGGGGACGGATAATGGATCCATTCCTATCCACGGCGCAGAGGATAATGAATCATGATATCCTGCATCTGCCTCGTCTTGTTCAAAAGACATATATCCCTTGATCAACAGGCAAGATTGAAGACAGATTGACGACAGATTGAAGACAGTTTCAAGACAGAAGGGGATTAAACTCTGGAGGCGGAAAGACGGTCGAATCCCAGCCATCGTCACTGCCACAAACCGTCATCCTGCCTCCCAACCCTTGCGTGATCCCACGTTACCGATGTCGATGAGACATTCATGTACCTTTCCGACACTATTAATAACGAGCATGACTCTTCTGGGTGGTCTTCCAATGCAACTGTTACTGCAGAAAGTACGGATGGCAGGACACAAACTGTCGGTAGTTGTCAACCCTCGCAACTACACATCCAACCAGATCTCGAGTCCTCAGTATAGTACGGAATGCTCCGTAAGTACCGATCCGATTCCCTTGGACTCTCCTTTCACGATGGGATTGATATCACTCAGATTTGATACTCCGGGTGGCACCAGACCCTGGCGTTGTCTGAGCCGTCGCCTTCGCTTAATGCATCTAGTCCCCTGCCTGGGGCACCGCCTCTAATTTGGGTCGGAGAATTTTATATTAACGTTGAGATTAATGTCATTACGACTGACTCGAAGGGAGGATTCATTTTTTTTTGTGATTGATGTGATTCCATTCGACGGGATCAGGGGCGCAGTGAGACATCCACGCGGTACTTATTTTGGCTTTTTTCCCCTTACTTTTTTCTCACATGATTATTTATTTTTGTTTATTAATTCTCATTTTACCTTTTATTTTTATTTTGTTATGATTTTAGTCTTTATATTCCATACTGACAATACTGAAGATAAATGTCACCACGTGATTCTGTCGATATATCACGTCTCATCATTCCACTCTTCCCCGCGCAGTACTAACCGTACACTCCTCTCTCAATGTCACCCAAACGATGACGGCCCCGAGGCTGTTCAGATGAGCCTACGCCTGGCCCCCAATGGCCGACAAGGCCAGGCGTCCAATGTGCTAATCCCGGAACGGGACAAGGCACTACGCCTGTCAAGAATAGTCTGGTTCTACGGATCCTCGCAATCAACCCAGCCGTCTCGGGTTCTTATGGAACATGGAACCAGCCCCCTGGTCGAATTCTGCCGCGCGAATCACTTGAAACGCGAGGCTATCACCTCGAGTATCGATGCGAGGACAGTGTCGTCCACAACGGCGCCTGACGGACGATCCCGGCTTCTCGCCCTGCTGATGGAGGCTCAATTTGCTGCCTCGACCTATTCACAGGACGCCTGATCCACGTGGTCCCTTGCATGGACGTTCGGGACTGGAACCGGACGATGCAATGGGAACATGCACGATGTAATGCTGTGCGAGTTTGTCGGTGAGTCTCTCGAACTTCACGGGGCACTCATGCCCCCTCCCCAGTCATCCATTGCTACTCCGTTCCGGAAGTAGCTGCCAAATATTCGACGCGTCGACTCCAGACGGCGAAACCTGGTCACAAATTCACAGCGGAGCTGAATGAGAGTGTTTGTGTCGTGCAACCCTCAACCAGGGGCAAGGTGCTGAGATAATGGGTAAGCTGTAGATGTTGTACCAAGTGATCTTTGTGGCAGAATAGAAGAGTCCCCTCGAGTAACGTAGTGCCTGCGCCCGTCGAGATACCCGAGACTTGAGTCTATAATTTTGAATGTTGTAATACGTGCCGTGTTGCCTTCCTATCAACGGCAATAACACAGATGCCCGTGTCAGGCTGGTCGTCTGTCGGTAGGCGACGCCTGCCACCGCTACAAAGGATCAAGAGCACTATAAAGATTTGGGCTAACGTAGGGATGTCTGTGATCCTGTCCTCGGACTAGGTATTGCCTTCGTTTTGTAGGAAGCACCCATAGAATCTGATGCTATGGCGTCGATCAGGTTCTAGAAAATGTAGATGGACTATAAACTTGTCTCACAGCTAGCGTGCATATCCCCATAATGGACACTACTCGCTATAATCTCGCATAAACCGTATGTCAAGAAGTCCAGAATCCAAGATCAAGCTGATCAAGCATCTCAGGATCCCACGAACTTGTTTCAACCGAAAATTTATACTGCGATATATCTCACGGAAACCCAAATTCTCTAGCAATCCGCCAAATCACCACTAATCTAATCTGAACAAGATATCCAAATTGAGAATAAACCAATATCACATATATAAATATACCCACCGCATTTATGAATATGTTGTTACCCGTACAAACCTAATAACCTCAGCTGGGCTCTGCATACATAGTGGAGTGGAGTCTGCAAGTCATCGTGCTGATGCAGGATTGTGGACTCGTGGTACAGCTAGCTTCTCATTTGGTATTGCTGATGGGGTATATGATTGGATTCTGCAGGCAGCATGATACCTAATTATGAGGCGTAAAAAAAAAAATGAACCGTGTCTGTCTTTCGTCGAAAGAGCGCCGAGTAGGTTGATGCTTATAGTTAGTTCATGGTAAGTTATCTTAGATATGACGACTGAGGTCAACGCGAGGTCGTTGCGCAGCGGGCTTTATCTTGCTGTTAAAGATGGGTTGCTTCCTTGGTTGACTGTTATTGTTGAGGTTGGGGCTTTGTAGTTGCGCTGAGTTGGATTCTTGGCTGTAGAGTTGAAGGTTTTGTAGTATACGTTTTTCCAAGAATCTTTTTTGGTACCCCTAGATGAAAAGATCCGTCATACTTGAGGATATATACATCCATAGATACCATCGGACCAGCATGATCTATTGTTTGTTTCTGAATGTCTTTGAATATGGTCATAGCCACGAGCTTGACCTGTGTAGCTCGAGCATGTCACGTACGTCCCAGTTCACTTCTCACCCGGGTCACTTCTTTCTCCACAGCCTGCATCTCAACAACCACACCAGCCAGCTCCGCCATATGTCCTTCCACCGCCTCCGCAAAGGATTTCTGAGCACTGCGAAGAGACTGGGGAACCAAGATTCCGTACCACCGTATAGGATCGGAGGATCGAGGTTTCTGCTTCGACGGTTGGGGTTTGTGGCCAGCCTGCTGGTCATCCTCGTCAGGAATCGAGGGAGGTGAGTCTTCTGTGGATTGTTCTGTGGGTTTGGCCTTGGCCTCGGGGTTGGATTCCTCGTTCTGTGCAGGCTCGTCTGTAGTGGGCGATGGCTTAGTATCTTCCGTCTTCTTCGATTGATCCTCCTCGGAGTTGTCGATCACAGATTTTATGGTAAAGGTAGGTTTGCATTCGTGGTTTGGGTGGCCATCCGTCGAAGTGGCATCATTCTGAGTGCTATGGTCATTTCCGTCGCGGTCGGTCGAAGGTTGCAGTTCTCTGAAGACGCACTAATCAGTAATGTTCTCTGACACACCACATGCTAGGAGACAGAGATTGAGCTTACACTCTCCTCGTGGCTTTCATGCGATCATCGTAATAATCGGCGCCATAATGTCGGCCTGGAGGACAGGTATAATTGGCCTGAGCGAGCGAGAAAAACCCCTGGTTCCCACGTTAGTCGCGCGCATTGGGAAATTGGCGGTCACGATAGAGGGTCATACGGAGGATAATCGCGAGCTGAGATCGGCCTGTAGTCGTTGGTGCTGATCGAGGAGATGAAGATAATGCTCTAGAAGGGAATCGAGTGACCGCAACAGCTCCGCGGAGGAGTCGGACTGTTTGGTCTCGACATCGAGGAATTCTGAACCGGCGCGAGAGGCGGGAGGGGAAGGGATTTGTGTCATTTCTGAAACCAGAAGGAAAAGCGACAAAAAAGCTTCATTAATGGTTGTATCCGAGTATTAAGAGGTGAGGGGAATGACGAAGATGGAGGTCGGGGACGGGGAAAGCGGATGACTGGCAATGGCCGAGGGAGCAACGCCGATAACTCCGTCATCGCGAAAAGCGAATCCAAAAGAATTTCCCGCCGACGTAACCTCCACTTCCTGTCATCTCCTCCCACCCCCCTCCCTTATTGGATTCCACCATTTGTGTCTTTTTGCCTATTGTTTCCGACTTATTCTGAGATTCGGTGAGTTCTTACAAAAAGAAGCCAGCGGCTTGTTGTGATTTTCTCGGACATCGCGCCTGTTCTTGCAAACGCCACCTTGGACCACCACTTACGTCGTTTGTCAGGGAACAACAACCTTCCTTGTTGAGACTTCTTCAAGAAGAACCCGTCGGACTTTTCTTGGTTTAGACTTTCGATATAGCTAAGGCGACAGCGACGAACATCTCCGACAATACTCTCTAAGCTCGGACCTTTTCCTGTCCAGCTGTCCCGCATCGTGCAGTCCCTAGACGGACGTCAAAAGAAAGACCTCGCATCTCCACTCTCACCAGCTTCGATATTATCATAATGTCTACCCCCGCTTTGCCGCGGAACACTGCCTTCCAGGTCCGGTCACTGGTATGTTCCCGACTCAAGTGTCATATAGTCCCGACGGACATGGCTGATAGTGTTCCTTTTTCCCCGTGCGCAGTTCCGGTCCTTGCTCCGCCAATCCACCCAGTTTGCAAACTACAACTTCCGCGAATATGCCCGTCGCAGAACATTGGATGCTTTCCGCGAGCACAAGGGTGAAACGGAGGATCGGAAGATTCAAGAGTTGATCCAGGAGGGCTTGCAGAACCTACGGATGCTGAAGGTCAGTGTGGCAATATTTTTTACTGGTGTCGCTGGTGCTATTCGGGTCGATCCACTCGTCCGCCCGAATATTGCGACACGTAGGCGCCAGATGGGTAGTGCGGATAACTGACTGTCAGTATAGAGACAAACCACGATCAGCCAGTTTTATCAGATGGATAGATTGGTTGTTGAGGGCGGGGAGACGGTAGGTCCTAACGAACAGAAGGCGCTGTCAGGGCATAAGATTAACACTTTTCAGGGGAAACAAACCGGGCAAGAAGGTGATATTGTTCGCCAGAAGGATACTGGGTAAGATCTCCCAACCCCGGATTCGTTGTCGACGATCATCCTAACAATTGTTCGTAGTTGGGATTAATTGGCCCTGCTCTAGCGACACATGGTGATTAAAATATACATGACATACTGAGGGCGATATGGCATTTGTTTTTCTTGAATCATTACTTTAGCCACTGAACCTGTGATGGTGGCCGCAGCAGTTGGGGGGCGACTGAATAGACCGGGCGTGTTCTGTACTTTTAATGGATGATCCTACGCTGTAGGTAGCATTGTTTATATTCTGTCTAAATGCGACCATTCTCTCCTTATCTTTATTATATATCCGTATAAGAATATACTCGACGTGATGCGCTGGAGTGGTTCTAAACAACCCCCCGGTCCTCTGTCCACGTGACCGGCGCCCGTCGTTCGCCGCGCTCTCGATCGATCGCGACTCTTCTCTCTCACTGCCCCATCATTTGCTCCACCTTTGCTGGCTTCCTGGCCCAGTTTCTCGTTGGACCGCTGTTCTTTACATTTGTATAACTGCGCTCATTTCTATTTCTATTTCTATTTCATTATTCCAACAGGTGGAGGGGTCACCCAGTCCGCAATGCCACCGACGGTAGGTTCTTCGCGACTCCCAACTGTCTCACCAGGTCTTACTTTTCAACACAACAACATGATCGCAAGATGCAAGTAGGTGTTGATTCGATTGACTAACAAATCTGCAGTTCCGGTCCTCGCGTTCTGGCCGTCAATTCGGCGAGGGCGCCAACCGCACCAGAACCGGCCAGATCGACCACGACGTCTTCGAAGGCCTCCCCATCCGACGATGGACGCGCCAATCCCAAACCGTCTCCCAAGTCCCCAAAAGCGAAGGCTCCGAATCACTACTACAGGGCATTGAAGGGAAACAATCCCTGCCGGAACACCCCATGCCGAGGGACAGCCATCTTTTGACTCCAATGAGTCGGGCCCTCCTCCGTGCGGCTCGCGCTGGCTGTGTGTATATTCGCCAGGCCCCCAAGGATGAGGAGGATGAAGAGAAGGAAGTGGTGGAATTGGAAGATCAGCCAACGCTGTCTACAATGGAGCGCAGCTTTGTGGCTCGCAAATGGGCTGCCGTTCCGAAACATCTGGAGTCGTCGGAGGTGGAGTTCCTTGCCAAGCGACGGCCGGGCTTGCCGTCCTTGTACGGTGCCGCTACGTCTTCTACGGACGGAAGCAATAACCCTCCCGTGCCTATGAGAAGGACGAGATTCAAGAAGGTTGATCCGACGTCGGGGAACATCTCGGTCTACGAGGCCTGGGTGCCGGAAGGCCATAGAATCGAAGGGGAGATCACCGATGACACACAATTAGTACCCGAGAAAAGTGAAGCGACAGTGACGCCTGAGGTACCCGCACCGGGAACTGTCATTGACGGCGTCGGGGTAGTCAACGGTGAAGGGGTGGTGGTCGCGGAGGCCGGCTCGGTATCCGTGATGACACCTCCGAAGAGACGGCCGCCTCCGCCCAAGCGCAAGGCGAAGGGTTTCGGAAAGGGTCGAAGAAAGAAGGTCATGTTCGCCCCTGGGGATGGAGCCGACGCTTCGACAGTGCACGGCGGAGAGGGGGCCGGTGCAGATACTGGTGAAGCTGGTTACACCAAAGAGGGAAGTGCTGATACCCCGCGCATGTCGATGGACCAGAATGGTCAAGACGACGAGGAGGAAGAGGGCGATGAGGGCGATGAAAGTGACGAGGGCGACGAGTCGCTGGTCGAACCGAAGACCCCAGAGACTCCCCTTCCGCAACCCAACGCTGAACCGACGACGGCCTCGGCGCCTCCGCCGGCTGAGCCAGCTTCTGTTTCTGCTCCAGGATTGGAACCAACGCCGGAGATGAAGCCGGAACCTGCAGCTGAGCCGTCTACTGTTTCAGATGCGCCTCCGCAAGCCCCCGCACCCTTTACCAATGCCCCAACTCATGAGCTGCCTCCGGCCGAGAAACCTCTCACTTCCGATGCGCCGGCTTCCGCATCCCCGGAGAAGGCGGCGCAAGAAGCTCAGATTTCGGAAGATGTTGAAATGACCGACGAGAAGCCTGAGCCGCCAGCCACCCTAGAGACCCCGGCACCGATCGCGCAAGCCGCCCCCGAAACACAACCATCGCCAACTGCGGCAACAAATGATAAGTCAACTCCCCAGGAGGAGACTGCTTCCCTGAAACCTGAAGAGCTTCATGTCACTGCGGAGAATCAGCCGTCGCCAGCTGTGAAGGAAGAGAAAACCGCTAGCGAAGAGCCCGCTTCGAGTGGACCAAATGAAACGGCTTCCCAGCCACAGCAAGATGACTACATGGCCATGGATACTACAGCCGATGGGCCGCAGACGCCACCGCAGGAGGAACAGCCTAAGCCAGAGCCCTCTTCTGAGCTGCCTGACATCTCTCAGCATGGGGTCGCGGAGCAGGGGGAGAATAAGCAGGATGACATCTTTGGAAGCCTGGAGGCAAGCCTGGAGGACAGCAGTGCAGGAAAAGCGGATGAGCCGACTGTTGCACAACTAGAAGAGCAAAAGGGCCCGGAACCTGAGGTTTCAGCTGCACCAGCAATTTCCGAGCCAGTCAAGGACGAGGCCAGCAAAGAGAGCGGCGGAGAATCCGGCAGCCATCCAACCGATGACAACGCCCCGCTACCTACAAGAGAACAGCCCAAAGATACAGCCAACGAACCAACCACAGACCAAGCTATGGAAGAGGCTCCTGCATTCCAACCAGACGAACAAACGCCTGTCGAGCATCCGACGGAGACTCCCTCGCACGAAATTTCACAGCCTCCAGCAGAGCAAACTCCTGCCGAAGCAACCCCTCCTGAGCCGGCCGCCGTTGAACCCACCCCGGAACCTCCCGTCGAAAAAGCAGAAGAGCCATCTTCCGAAAACGGGAAGGAATCAGAACCCCCGACTTCGGCCCCGACTTCAGCTCCAGCTCCAGCTCCAGCCCCAACCTCAGAAGAGGAAAAGCCACAGGAAGCCACCGACGCGCCAGGAACTGCAGCGCCAGAAAACGCAGCGCCATCAACGGAGGCTCCGGCTCCAGAACCTGCCTCAGAGGCAGCAGCAGCAGCAGACACACTCCCGGCAACCTCCAACGAGGAACCAAAGGAGCCATCTCCCAAGCCCGAGCAGCCAGCCGATCACCCCCAGGAACAGCCAGAAGAAGAAACTGCTCCCCAACCCACCCCTAGTGCAGAAGAACAAGCGCTCGCCCCAGCGCCAGCACCAGAACCGCAACCAGAGGAGAGCGAGAGCCAGAACCAGCCCGAGAAGCAGAACCAGCCAGGCGAGACGACACAAGCCGACGCACAGCCGTCGAGCGATCCCACCCCGCCCCCAGCTGATCCTACGCCCGTCTCTGAACCTGAACCGGCAGGAGAACCAGACTTGCAGACAAAAGTAGACGAGCCAAGTGATGCACCCGCGCCGGAAACTTCCACTCCCGCTGCTCCTGCCGCTGCACCGGAACCCGAACCCGCTCCTACCACTGAACCCGCGCCCCAACCCACAATTCCAATCCCCGAACCGCCCACCTCTACCCCATCGGAAACCGAAAAGAGAAAAGAAAGTTCAAGAGGGTGAAGAAAAAGAAGATTCGAAAGTCTCGGAACCGACCCCTCCGGCGCCTGAGACTGAGACTGGGACCGATGCGGCTTAAGCTGGCCTTGCATTTTTAATATTACCCTAGCTTTCTCTCTCTCTCTCTCACACACACACACACACACACACACACTCAATTTCATAACGTGTTGTACTCATCTAAGAGTGTGTTCTTTCTTCTTTCTTTGTACGGCGTTCAAATCAGGGTTTCAGAGTGGAGCTGGAGTTGGAGTTGGAGTCTGGGTGAAATTCAAGATCTGTTTGTCAGCTACTTAGATAGTTAGCTAGCTCTGTCCTTGTTGGTTACTTTACTTGTCTATACTATACATTCACATTTACGGATCCACTTCTTTTCATCTTTCATTCTTGTGAGTTTAGTTCGTCCTATAGTAGTCTGGAGCAGTCTGTAGCAGCAGCAGAAGCAGCAGAAGTACAAGGATTGGATAGAGCCGTGCCCAGCTCTAGAGTGGTAAGGTACACACCACCCTAGGTGAGATGTTTATTTATCATGTACGGAGTAAATAAGTAGCATGTCATTTATTTCCTTAGATGGAATATCCAAACTAGAGCTACCACTTACTATCTGCACAATCCAGATAACATAATATAGATAATCCAAGTAACTTAAGATAGATAGAACTGATTCCAAACAAATCAATCTCAACACCTTTACTGACTGACACCATAGAAAACAGACATACACAAGCATAAAACAGACACAAATAAGATCAAAAAAAAAGAAATCGGAACACGTAGACGATACAGAAGCCTAGACAAGACAATCATAAGTCAAGATGAACACCACACCATCCTGCATATTATATCAACGCAAATCTCCCAACTCGAACAAAGCATAATAGAGAGCAAGGATAAGAAGAACACGAAGACGGGGAGAAGAAGGAATCTGAAACCAAGTTGGAAAGTAGTTATAGCAACAAGCATCAATAAGGCAAAAAAAAAAAAAAAAAAAAAAAAACGCCATCATAGACAAACACAACCAAGCCAGATAAAACTAGCGTTACTTCCAGAGACAATAACAATAACAATAACAATAATAACCAGTACGTAACATCAAGTGAAGTCAAGTAGTAAAGAAGGGGTCCAACTTTCCAAAAGGAGTAAAGAAAGAGATAAGGGAACACACAAACATAGACGAGGATAAACCAGATACTCCGTATTGTCCAGAAGTCTAATAAAGTCGATAGATAGATAGATAGATAGATAGATACTCCGTGGAGAGGTAAGGTAGATAAATAGATCAATTAAAAATGTCTGATTAGTGACTGGCTGATGTTGAAGGTGCAGTTCTCTTCTTTCACTTCGCTCACCGAAAGAAAGAAGGAGGGAAGGAAGGAAATAAACAATTAACGTGACAAACGCCTCGCTGGAATCAGTTGAAGACTTCTCCTTTCATATAGTTAACGATTGTACCCAAGAGAAATGCCATCCAAAGGAGAATAGTCCGGGTTATCTATTCCAAATCAAACCAAATCAATCAAGCTCTGGCTTTGGCTTTGGTCGTCTTCGGCGAGGAGCTAGGAGTGGCCTTCTTCGCAGGACTCCTCACCGGTTTACTTGCTTTCGCCTGCGCCTGTTTAGGAGTTGCGACTCGCGATTTTGTGGCCGGCTTCGTTGGAGACTTATTTGACTTGGTGTTCATGGCTTTCTTCGGCGTCCGCTTTGCTGGCTTTCCCTTGGCCGCTGCGAGAATCTTCGCTTTGGTTTCCGCGGACGGGCGACTCAGTTTGGAGGTCTTGGTCTCCGCTTTAGCTTCTGCCTGGGTTTTCGGCTTCGGCTTGGTCTGAGCCTTGGTGGATTCGTTTGGTTTGGCAGCTTGGGGTTTCCGGGAGCGGGCGGGAGCGCGTGCTTTGGTCTTCGTGGGAGCGACCTTGGGTAACCGGACGTTGGTCTTCGGCTTGGTCTCGGACTTTTTCACTGGAGACTTTGCGGTCGTGGCTTTCGCGGCGGCCTTCTTTGGCGAGGACTTGGTGGTCGATGCCTTCTCCTGCGTCTTCGAGTTGCGCGCTCGAGACGCAGTTTGCGTGGATCCCGAGCTGCGTGCCTTCGTGACGGCTTTCTGCACGCCGGACTTGACGGATCGGGATTTCGAGGACACCGGTCGTCTCTTGTTGACCCGCGACGCGGAGCCCTTGAGCACTTTCTCGTTCTTTCGTTTTGTGCCGGCGAGTTGCTTGGCGGCTCGCCGTCTGCTATTCGCTCTGTCCCTCTTCTTCTGTCTCTCGGCTTCGGCTTTGGCTTCTCGGGCTTCCCTTGCGCGCTCTTTCTCCCGTGGTCGTGGTCCCAGAACCCCGCGACATGAGACTGAGCCGCATCGGCACTGTTGGACATTCTTCTGGGAGTAGGGGCTGGGTGGGTTAGCCATCGCCAATAAGAGAACTTCCATTTGGTGGGGAAGGGGGACTCACTCAAAGTTATAATCATATGTCAGCTCCTCACCGGTCATGATCCCCCGATCACCGGCAAACAGCGCCATACGCGGCTTACCCGCGACCGTCCATTTCTCCATCCGGCAATTGGGATCGCAAGAATGGTTCACGAAGCGGGCGATGGAGCCGCGAGTAGCATCGATGATCATGTTTTGATCAAAGTACATCAGATAATAGCACTAAAATCTCGTTAGCCCCTTCCAAGCAATTGACGCGTTTAGGACACAACCACTAGAGACATACCTCGTTGGTCTTGTAGATAGTCCTCATCCGTTTCTCACACTCAGACTGGGTGATGATCTCTCCGGTGTACTCCACGATGATCTGATTCGGTTCGAAGGTCCGGTTGCTGCGCACCCCGTATCCGCGATCCTCCGTCTTGATGACCTCGACGCCGACGTTGTACTTCCCACCGGCCTTGGCCCTATGCTTGAGCTCCTCAAAGCTGCGATTGCCGCAGTTCGCACCGAGGGCGCAATTCCCGTCGTCGCATTCAAAGAACATGTAGCGATTCTGGCAATTCTCATCACAGCCGGTTTCCTCGACACACATGCACTTGGACAGCTCCAAGGGCTTGTTTGCGCGCCATATACTGGAAGCATCTCCGACGAAGACGTCTATACATACATTAGCATACCAGTAGTCTCGAGAAAAGAGGGAGTTCAGGGTGTTGTACTCTTGTTGGTCTTCCTCCATTCGTTCGGTTTGGGCTGTCCCACCGGGAGCGGCGAGAAAACATCGAAAGGCAGGGTGAAATCCCTGCCGGACTTCAACAGTCGGTCACCGGCAAACATGGGCAGCGGAAGCAAGGTCCTTTGGGGCGTTCGAGAGCCCTGAACCTTGGTGATCCGGTCGCGCTTATGGCTGGGACGAGCGTCCGTATGCTCTTGACCCGTGTAGAGTCCATGCGACAGCCACAGTTTGGGTTTCCAGGTGACGGTCTTCACCGTCGACGCTTCCTCATCCGGGGTCTTTTCAGGCGACTTGGCCTTGGTCGGGAGATCGCTTTCGGAGACCCGTCTCTTCTTCAGGGCCGGTGGCTCTGACGCAGTCGGTTCCAATTTCACCGGGGCGATGTTTCGAGGGCGCAGGCTGGTTCGCCGCGCGGCGTCGCCTCCCTGATCCGTCGCGTCACGCGAGCGTTTCCCCAACACACTGGCCGCCCGGTCCACCAGGGCTGATGCCTTGTCCAGAATACTGATACGCGACGAGCGCCGGGGAGGAGACTGCGGAGTCTCTGCCTTGGAGGGAGTCGTCCTCGAAGGAGCCGCACGGTGGTTGTCACCGTCCTGGGTCAGTACCCGCTCGACCCGTTTCCGCAGCGTGCGCCGCGGTAGGGACGAACTCCCTTCTCCGGGCTGCGGTTCCTGCGACGCGTTGGACACCGGCGTCCCTGGAGCCACGGTGGGCTCGTCTGCGTCCCCATGGTTGTTGTCCTCCCCAGCCGGCGTGGCCTGACTCCATGCGGCGGCCTCCATCACCGCGATGCTGTGGCGGAGGTGCGACGAGCGCGTCTGCTTCCCGCGGTCCGCGACGGCGGCGACGAGGGTCTCGCCCGATACTGTAGGCTCATTCTCGCTGACGGGGGTGGGCAAACCGGGCTGGAGCGAGTCGGGGTCAGGGTTCAGGTCCACGGCCCCCCGCAAGGAGGCGCGCGTCACCCGTGTCGATCTCCGGCGCACGGCGGGTTTTTCTTCGGCGGACGCGTTTTCGTTGTTGCTGGAGGTTTCGGACCGGCTGTTCTCCGGCGTGAGCAGTTGTTCGGTGTACTCCACGACCATTGTGTCATCGACGGGCTCGGGCGGGCGTTCGTGGAGGTCAGGACCGGGTGCGGGTGTTGCGGGAGACGCGCAGAAGAAGTCTGTCATCCGGGTTTCCATGACCGTTTCACGGTAGAGATCTGCGGTGAGGGAATTTCCGGAAGAACCTAACCGACGGGGCGCAACGCCTCCACGGGGAAATGCAGACCCTGGAACGGAGAGGCTGGAGAGGTGTCGAATGCGTTCCAGGAAGGGGGGATGAATAGGGTCGGGGATTACTGGAAGCGAGAAGGCTGGAGGTTCGGGAGGCGCACTCCGCTTATCAGGAATCCGGCGGGTTCAAGACCAAACGGTAGAGAACATAATTCCAAAGGTTACTTAAGACAGTGAGATATGAAGAGAGATAGGGGTCGTCAGAGAAGAGGGTGGGGTGAGGGGGGAGGTGTAGAAGGGAGGAAGGGGAGAGGGAGAGGGGAGAAGAAGAAGAAGAAGACAGACAGGACCTGCGATTCTACTACGACGACACCTCCTCTTCTCGTCTCTCTTTTACCCACTTCTGCTCAGTCGGATGATTTCGTCAGCGCCAAACCGGACCAACCAGTTCATTCCTCCACCAACATTCGCCTCTTGCGGCCATTCCCACCCTCTCTTCATCCTGATCAGACCGGATCATATCAATCTCTCCTTCTTTCCGAGGTCCCGCAATCCCTCCCCAGTCAACCATCGCGTCTCCCATGGCTCTATCCCAAACTCGTTCTTACTACGTGGAAATGCCTTGGAATAGATGATCTATTTGTGATCTATTGCGGTCCAACTATCATATACAGGTATATCTTCGCGGGGCTTGGTTCGCACCCACTCCCCCCCATCCCATATATCAACCACAGAAGATGGGTCCTATGTGCTCCCAACAACGGGAATATCAACATGTCATCTACAAAATGTATTCACAATAATGGCAACCACGGTTGATCCACGGTGCAAGCCCGCCTCCGCATATGGACGGTGTCGGAAGAGAAAATTGGGGAGGGTAGAAAAGGGTAAAAAAAACAAGATGTAATAGAAAAGGAGGTAAGTAAGAAGGGATGAGGACTGGATATCAACATGCGTAAAGTGCCTCCAACAGACTTCGTCAAAGGAAGGGTGGGAGACGGTTAATAAAAATCAAGTAACGTCAAGAGGTATTTGAGAAGGGAAAAAAAAAAGCTGGTGCAGGGAACGTGGTCGTAGATGATTAAAAAAATAGGCGTGCTTTCAAACAAGACATTACCCGGTATTGACAAAGGTAGTAAAGTAGAGAAGGAAAAGAAGAAGAAGAAAAAGAAGAAGGGAAAAAAAGGGCAGGCGTTGCACATCAATTGGGGTAGTGGAAGTCCAACTAGAATGAGTTCTCCTCTCACCCTTGCTGCGGAGTCGTAGGAACTCGTTGCATCTCGATGTCCTCGCGAGATTCCACATGGCGTGGCAGGTACTTCCGCTTCATCGTCGCCAGTCGCTGATCGCCCTCCTGGTAGGCCTCCTTGAACTGCATGTACGTCGGAGGCCGAGGTCGCCCAAAGACCGCGATCCAGTTGCGGAATATGTTCCCCTGGGTGAAGGGCCGGTGACGGTCCACCTTGGCGAACTTGTGGGAGCTTAGATACTCGCGCGTGGTCTCGCCTCGTCCGACCAAGAAGAGGTGGTAGGCCAACAAAGACGCCGGGTAGGGCGCCGCGACCGCCCCGTAGATGACCATGGCGAAGGGCACTCGCAGCGTCCCTATCGCGGCCTTGAACGAGAGGTCCTCTTCCTGGCAGTAGACCATGATGTGCGCCAGGCTGGCGCCCAGGAGGTAGAGGGCCAGGAGGGTGCTGCTGCTCACAAAGGCAAAGAAATAGCGGTAGTTCCGGCGACCCACGCAGTTGTTGAGCCACACGCAGTGGTGATCCAGCGTCTCCACGCAGTTGTCGCACACCCGGCAGTGGTAGCAGCGCGGTGGCCGCCAGATGCTGCACGTCTTGCAGTACTTCACCGGCACGTCCATGGCCGCCACCTCTGACGTGGCCAGCTTGACCATGACCCAGTCGTTGGTCGGCGGGCCGACCGCCAGGGGATCATCTGCGGGGTCAATCGGCGGCATCTGGTGCAGATTCCGCGGCATGATCCCGGGGTCCACGACCGACGCGTGGACAAAAGACGACAGGCACACGTAGAAGAGGTAGGCAAACACCACCGGTAGCGCGGGGGAGATGTGATGCCAGGTAAACGGCGCGGAGAATCCGAAGAACAGCGCGGACGGCACGACGACCAGGAAACCCGTGAGGATGTTGACCGGCTTGTCTCGCGAGTTTTGCAGTCGCCCACGCCCACTGAAGGCCGTGTTGCCGGTGAAATATTCATAGTTTCTACCCAGGTCGGGCTTCTTCACCGCGGCAGGACGGCTTTGCTTCTCGAGGCCCGGGGACGATCCGCCGGAGGAGAGACGCTCGTGGGTTCGACTATCGCGGTGTTCATGCCCGGGACCCCGATTCTGCAGAGACAGAAACGAGAGCGGGGATCGTTGGGGAGATTCGGGCCCGGCGTCCGCTTGGTACGTCGCGGACAAGTCCAGATGGCGCGGTTGTTGGAAACCCTGGTCGCGGGAGCGCAAAAGTTTGGCGCTTTCGCCCACGCTTCTCTCCACCGTATTGTTGGTGGGGCTCGCATTGGAGGTGGCGCGGTCCGGGATGATGGGATCGGTGAACTCCGTGCCACGGGAGGGGGGCGCTTCCTGCTCGATGTGGGTATACGACTGGGGGAATGTACTGTCCGAAATCAAGCTGCGTCGGTGCTGACTCGACTCGTCCCCGTAGTCCGACGATTGTGTTGTCTCCTTCGTTACGGGGCGTCCGCGGTGGGCCTGCAGTCGCTGGGAAGACATGGGACGGAAGAAGCCTTGCGCGGCCAGCGAGGGAATATGTGTTCTGCTCAGTCGACTGCCCGAACTTCCTGGTCGGGGGGTTGGACCACTGGCATTGGTGAGGACGGAACTGCGCGCGGGGGGCGGTGCGCGTCGAGAGACGGACGAGCGGGACTGCGGGGCCTGCGATGACACGACGGTTTGCGACTGTGTTTGCGACTGATCTCCATCCTCCGATAGGGCCATGTCCGTCACCCGCGACGAGATGCCTCCCACGGAGGGAGGGCGAGGGATTCCCAGGGCATGCTGCGAGGGACCCCGTTGGTGGGAGTAGCCGGTCTCGGAGTCGTCTGGCGAGAAAGACATGTTACGACGCAGACAGGACAACGATTGGATAGTTAGAGAGAGATGCCGATTCTCATGCTGTGTTGCGGAAAACGGGTTGTCGAATCGTATGTATATTACTTGGCGGACGGGTGGGTATGGCAGCGGTCCCACTCGGTTGGGAAACAGGTATCACGGAACGAGCAAATCGGGATGCGGATAATGGTATCTCGAGGGTCAAGACTGAGAAAGAGTGAAAGCAACCTATTGACAGCAACTTATATTAGTTTGATGTTGATGTTGATGTTGGGTCTTGGGCCTGGGCCCCATCCACACAGTTGTTCGGGGGACGAACACCCCCCCTAGATACCCAACCACGGCGGGATATCGAAGAAAAAGGGGAGAGACAGGGACTCCCCCCACGCGAGGAACACCACCCACCTGAAGAGATCGTTGTAGAGACTGGATCAAAAGAGGGTCATCCAGATCACATCACGATCCAAGGAAGCAAACAGAGCTGACCCAACGATAGAGAGCGGAAGACGACAGGGGGAGGACAGAAAGAGATCGCAGTTCTCATGGCGATCCAAAGTCCTGGTCAGTTGTTCCTACAGAGTACTAACAGTCTTAGTCGGTCTAGTTTGGGTGGAATCGAACACGCTAATCCTATCTGGGTTAGACCGTCACGCAGCCCTGCCGGAGGCTAACTGGATTGGGTCTAGCACTAACCCTTGCATAAATCCTGTGTATACAGACACAATGCAAACCTGACTCAGCCAATTAGCTGTACAAGACCTGACTCAGCATGGCGACAGCCAACGGGATGTCACCTGATGCGGATGATGGACATCATCATCATCCGACTTCTCCCACTTCGCCCCATTTCTCTCTCCTCTTTTCCGACCTTCTCCCCCCACAACCTGAAACCAATTGCTCTTGTTTTCTACAATTCAATTACCCACCACAATGTCCTCCATCCTCGCCATGGCTGGCCGCCGGGCTTTTGCCCGCCAGGCCACCTTCCGCGCCCCTCCGCGCCGTCTCTACAGCTCCAAGATGGAGGAGGGCAAACTCGAGTCCGGTGCTCGCCGTGACCCTGAGCTCTACGTATGACGGCACATCACACCCCAATTGCTTCAGATAGCTATATCTAATGTTGGATAGGTTCTGCTCGGTGTGATGTCGGGTGCTTTCCTGATTGCCGGCTGGTAAATTGACCCTCCCGTTTTTCTCCTTGGTTCCCTTTCCGCCCCGGTCGCAGAAACACGCGGGAATATCGCCCACGATGCCGAAAACGGTGTACCAACACAACACAACACACTATAACACGACACATACACAATCCCCAGAGAAAAAACACATATACTCCACTCTCACTGCAGCCGATTCACCATCCACCAATTCTGTATATCAGAAGATACTGATTACCCTCCTGAACAGGTACTTCGGCACCAAGCCCACCACCATCAGCTCCGAGGAGAGCAACGTCCGCATCGCCGAGAGCGCCATGCCCTGGAAGGCCGACCACGAGGGCAAGGTCTACAAGTACCAGTACCACCCTCACGGCGACAAGAGCCAGCCTCTGCGCAATGCCCCCAGCGCGATGAACACCGTCATCGTGCCCGACGTCACTCTGCCTGAGGTATACATCTCTTCCGCACCAATCTTCTCCTTTTACCATGCGATTGAACCAGAAATCTGCGGTCATTGGCTATCTATATGCACACCTGACTAATCGCCTTCTCTTCCCTATGATAGGACCTCCACGAGCGATTCAACAAGTACGGCAAGGAGGAGTGGGACTACTAAATCCTCTATACTATACCAACGTGACCCGTACGGGCGGACGAAGAGAGTGTGTGTGGGGTGACAGGGGGAGTGGAGTCAATGCTGTCAATGGCTAGATGTTGTACACTAAAACGCACCGCGAAGAACGAGAACTGATCGCGGAAGAGAGCGATCGGAAGGAAGGAGGAGGATTCTGTGCATAGTACGTTTCGTTTGATGGGAATTTTGCGAAGATTTATTACTTTTTTTTTTTCTCTTTCTTTTTGGTTTATTTTGCTGCGGTGCAGCTATAACTTGCTCTTTGGGTATATCGGTTTAAGGGCCCAGTGTGTGTAATTTTGACGGGCAATAGTAGGCAGTCAGTCTCAGGTACCTCGGATCCAGGAATCGGATACGATTGTCATACTTGACTAGGGCCAACCGATTAATCGACCATTTCAAATGAGACTATTGAAAGGACAGATTTAAGAAGAAGAGTAATTAATGAGTGCAAAAACCACTAAAGACAAGGTATTTTTACAAAAAAGCAAGGCTTTACAATCCTAACATTCACCGCCCAAATAGATCAGTTGGTCGCCTCGTTCGGTTCGGCAGCCGGCTTGGGCTCCGGCGAGCGCTCCTCCTGACCAAGAGGACTGCCCTGTCCCGCAACCGAGGCCGGCCCATCTTCCATGACCGGCAGCTCCTTGCCAACGGTCTCTGGGTCCTGGCCTTCGACGTCCGGGTGGGGAGGGGCCGGAGGGGCTACCTTCCCGTCGACCATGTCCACCTCGTGGGCGTGCTCCAACTTGGTCTGGGTCTCGTGCCGCGTCTCGAATTGCACTTTGCCGTCCTTGGCGAGCTGGCTGACGAACTCTTCGTCTAGGAGGTTGCCGTCTTGGTCCCGGTACTCCACGCGTGCTCTGGTGCCGGGTTGGTGGGCCTTCGGAGTGACGCTGGCCTCGGGGACCTCTTCTTGTTTCTCCTGGGGGGCTGCTTGGTTCTTCTGGTTCTCCTGGGGTAGGGGGACCACCGGGGGCGCCTCGGCGGAGGGCACCGCGGTCGTGGGGGCCGCCAGGTCGGTGCCCGTAAAGTGAGTGACGTATTGGTTAAGCTAGGGTCCCATCCAGTTAGTTCGGAATTGATGATGCGTTGCCGCTAGGTCCCTCGCCGCGGGGGATTCCATTCCGGAACACTTACGTCGGTGTAGAAAGTGTTGCAATCGAAGTCCCATCCGCCCAGGAGCTTCACCTTCCGGCAGGCATCCTGCGTCCAGGGGTTACCGTACGCCAGAGGGGCATACAGCGTGAAAGTGAAGATGCTCGCGGCCAGGAAAGTACCCGCGATAATCTTGCCGATGGCGGGCCGAGATGGCAGTCCCAGTTTTTGGATCCGATTGGCGAGGAAGTCGAACTCCTGACACAAGGTCATGAGGGCGAAATAGAGCGCGGGGAAGTAGTGGTGCAGGAAGAGCTGACGGGCCATGAGGTAGAAGGGGAGATAGTGGAACGCCCAGCCAAGCACGCTGGTGCCGACCTCGTAATCGAATCGCTTGAAGTTGACGTTATTGTAGTCACCACAGCTCCGCTGCCACCGGAGAATGGAGATGCCCTTGAAGAGGACGTAAATACCAATCGCGACGGTGGACGACCACCAGAGCATGGGGTTCCCGAGGAGGTAAATGTGGCGGTGGTCGCGACCCCAGAAGTTGATGCCCCGGAGCAGGACGGGCCAGGATGGGGGGCGGGAATCCCAGGCATGGGGCTCCGTCAATCCGGCGTTCGTCGTCCACATCACCTTCTGCAGCTCCCAGAACTTTCCAAAGAACCCGGGGTCCCGGTAGTTCACCTTCTCCGCATCGGCCGGCAGCATGGGGTGGTGGTTGGCTTCGACATACCACACGCTGTTCGGGAGACTTCCGCCGCGGGCACAGGTCACTTCCTGTTGCTCCCACGCCCAGCTCGGGAGCTTGACCTTGTGCGAAAACAGAGTGCATCCGGTCATGACATGCACCAGTCGGAACTTGCTTCGGATGGTGCGCAACCGTTTCTTGGCCTCTTCTCCATCCGACATGGACTTGACGATCTCGACCCGGAAAAGATCGTTGGCATCACCAGGGAAGCCATCGAAGCCGTACGCCGACACCTCGAACTGCCAGTCCACATCGGTCACGGGTGGTCGCTCGTCATGGGAGTGGATCCGTCGGCCGGTGATCAGATGGTTCAGTCGAATCACGGAGCCATCTTCAATGTAGGAGGCGGTGAAGTTGTCCCATGCAAACGGACCCTCGACCGTCGTTCCGTCCGGGTTCATCGGCTGGGTCTGGTTTTCGGCCACGAAGACGTTGTTCTCGTCCTTGTGCGGGTACAGGGTCACCTGCTGCTGCTTACTGCCCGTGGGGTACATGTGGTTATGGGAATGGAGATAACCGCCCTGCGTGTTCAGGTGACGGATGCTGATCCGGGATCCAAATGCCACATCGGCGGGGACATCCTGCATGGCCTTGGAGTTCAGGGTCGCCTGGAACTCGGACGACATGAACCCGTCTCCTTCACCGGGGTTGACTAGGCACATGAAGTGGATGGCAAACATGGCGCAGTAAAAGCCGAGGGGGATGACAATCAGGCAGAAGACACGGGCGAAGAAATGCTTGAACCAGAGGCGCTATACGGCAAACGACACTGCGTTAGAACTTTGAGGTCCGACAAACAAACGGGGTAGCAACATACCGGTGTGACGGTCTGCGGATCTCCGAGAAGTACCCACAACTGGAGGATGGTGAGGGTGCCCACCCACGCGACGGTGAAGAGTCCAACCCACTTGACACTCAGGGTGGCGCCCAAGGAGAGACCCGTGGAAACCAACCAGAACCACCAGGGTGCGCGGAACGCATGGGAAGGACCCATTTCTTGCTGGTTGGTGAAACAGGTGAACGTCAACGCGGTGAGAGCCGTGAAGAAGACCAGGGGGGAGTCCAAAAGGATCAGACGGGACTGGGTGATGAGACCATTTTCTAAGCGCCGTCAGAATGCGCACACGAGATGTCTGGCATGGTTCGCAATCGAGCGGAGAAAGGCTTACCAAAAATGACCACCCCGGCGCCAAGAACCGCCGTGATTGTGCGACAGCCCGAGGCCTTGAGGGTCAAAAACATCAACGGGATCGTCAGCACGCCCAGGATGGCGGGGAGCATGCGCATCGCCACATAAGGGACGCCGGGTTCCAGATAGTCCTTGCCGATGTCCTTGAAGTCGAAATTCCCATCGAAACCAGCCAGCCAGCCAGCCAGCGTGATGAGCAGTTTGGCGAGAGGCGGGTGAACATCCATAAAGAACTTCCCCTTGATATATTTGCTTGCGAACCCACCGAAACTAAAGTACGGAAGACGATTAGCATCCGCCACCCGTGTGTCCCATCTCGACCATCACATCACATACTGTACTTCGTCAAAGACGACGCTCGACGGTTGGTAGATGCGGAACAAGCGAACCACCGCCGCAATGATGGTGACGACGACAAGGGCCTTGTAGTCGGTGGAGGGAAGGTTGAAGATATCATTGTTCGTGACGCCATCCGACGCATAGTTGGCACTCTGCGCGGGGAACGTCTTGCGATTCTTCGGGTTCGGCGATCGACTAGGCGAGCGGCCTGATTGCCGGGGCGGTTGCACCCCCAGAGCTGATTTAATCGCCATGTTCTTCGATGAGGTATTCAACTCGACCGATGGAGAGGGGTGTGTAAGACGGTGTATGTCGATCGGATCGAACGGAAAGGAGGGTGGGTTGGGATCGGTCAAAGAGTATTACGAAGGGGTTTAGAAAGGTATAAGAAGAAACCCGAAAGAAGAGAAAAGAGAAGAAAGGGAAAGGACAGGGACAAAAGAATCCTCGATCATGCACAAAAGATCGGGGGGAAGAAAGTCTGTAGACCAAGCACGAGCTGCAGAAAGCTCCGACAAGAAGTAGGGGACAGGAACCCCACGCCCAACAAAACAAGCCAAATAAGGAAAAATATAATCAATCAACGAGTGTCAGATAGATGATTATGGGTACGGATCAGACCCGAGTCGCCATGACTCAAATCAGAAGTAGGATAGGCGGGGGGTATAAAGGAGAGAAGAAAGACCAAAGGAGAGAGAGAGGGAGAGAGAGAGAGAGAGAAGGAGGTTAGACAACACGTGTGGGAACAATAAGGGAGGTCAGGGTCGTCTGAGGCCAGATCGTCGGCGGTCAACCATACATTATTATTTCTACAGTATATGTACATTCCACCACAGTAAATCAAGTGGCAGGTTGGCATACCTTCTGCATGCAACCGATTTAGCATCCCTGGGAATTCACGGTCTTCGATTGCAGAAATTCCCACGTCATTCTCCCCTATATTTATGGTTCTCGATCATTCCGAACCGATGGCCCTTGCCTGAGGCTCCCCTGTCCGGCCAGCTCTCGCAGGCACCAACTTCCTGTATTGGGTCTAGTGGCTTGGCATCGTTCCCACCCAATCAGAGCGTACCCTTAATAGACGCGCGGCTGGCTCCCGTAGCCGCGGCGGAGATGAAGGAAAGAGAAGGCCGGCATCAGGTCCAACATCCACCTCCACCTCCACCTCCACCACCTCCTCCTTCTTCTTCCCCAGCCCCATCCTTGTGGCGTCTGGAATCATGACGTCCGTCAGTAACGGAGGTACTCCGGCTTTACCAGAGGAGTCCAATAAGCCCCCCGAGGGTGTGGTCTTGCCACCAAAGGATATTCGAGGTTGGTGCTCTCCTCTCTCCACCTGCCCAGCCCTGTGGTTGGTAGGAACCTGTGCTGACTGCGTGATGAATAGCGATCGTCGAGAAGACCGCTGGGTATGTGGCTCGCAACGGAATTGTTTTCGAAGGTACGTCGTCGGAGTCTTTTGCGTCTGTAATGGTGTCGTCGGGCTCACCAGATCCGGTTCATAGATCGCGTCCGCGACAAGGAGCGCAACAACCCCAAGTTCTCCTTCCTCAATGATGGCGACGCCTACGCGCCCTTCTATCAATGGCGTCTGACGGAGATCAAGGAGGGAAGAGGTACCGCGGTGGCCGCAGGGCGACCGGGCGAGTCGACCCCGGCCGCAGAACCCGAGAAGCCCCAGGGCCCCGCGGAGCCGCCAGAGTTCCATTTCTCGGCGCGCATGCCCATCATCAACGCGCAGGATCTGGAAGTGGTAAAGTTGACGGCGCTCTTCGTCGCCAAGCGCGGGAAATCATTTATGACAGCGCTCTCGCAGCGCGAGACGAGAAACTTCCAGTTCGACTTCCTCCGCCCGCAACACAGTCTCTACCAGTTCTTCACGCGTCTCGTCGATCAGTACACGATTCTTCTGCGATCCGAGGGTCTCGATGAGGCCACGTCGGAGAAGAAGCGCCTCGCGGAGTTGGAAAACAACACGAAGAACAAGTTCTCGGTCCTCGATCGCGCCAAACACCGCGCGGAGTGGGTCAAGTACCAGGAGCAG